TTGACGTTATTTTAATCTTACATAATATTTTAACTGCTATAGCATTACAGACATTTTTATGTTCTTATGTATTCGTCTGTATATTTCGGAGCTTAGTATAAAATCGATAGCATAGCTCTTAAGAATTTTTGGTTGAAAATATTGGCATTTCTGGATATCTCATATAAAAAGGTCATACATTTGTATTATATTATATATTTACTTTAAAATATTTGTTTTTCAGTACGGATGAGTATTGCATACGCGATTATAAAATCAATCGACATAGACTTCAGTTGAAACGAATATATAGATTGATATTATTTGCATATATTTCCTAAATAAAACAGCAAGCATCGGAATTCGGAAATAATTTTCAATAGAATGATGAAAGATAAATGTGAATATATAGCGTGTCCAATCCTGTCTTATAAATCCTATAACTTTTGATCCTATGAATGTTTTTTTGTTACATTATTATTCAAAAACTTGTTGAGTACAAGATTATAATATTATCATAAAGTATACGTATTATACAAAATAAAAATTACTGTTTCATTAATGATTTATAATTATTTTCCTATATTTGATGAACTGCTAATGCTTAGATATTATTATACTAATAATCATGATATTATGAAAAAAAAACTATTTTAAGAATTTGAGATTAACTTTAAAACTTAAATTTTAACATATAATTTTAGCATATGAAGCATATGATAATTGTGTTACTCTGTACTTTTCTAGAGAATGGTAGAAGTACTACAACGTCAATTATTTGATCTAAGTTCATCAGCCTATGAACTTAGATAGAACTTTTAGTATAAACAACAAAAATCAACATTTTTATAAATTTTAAAATATACTAGAAATTTAATTACAGTACATTAATTACTATAGTCAAATATGAAAAATAAAAAAAGAAGATATAAAAATTATTTTTCGTATATTATAAAAATTCATAACTAAATAAGTTGCTTACACAAATTACTCGCAGTGAAATTACAATGAGTGTTATAGCACATCTTAAAAATTATAAATACACTACACTGATAATTAATGTCTTAATTTTGACAATATTAGTTTCATAATATTTTATTTCGTACAAATTGTTTAGGAAATATTTCTAATGGATTAGAAATACGACATATCTAATTTATCAGTAATTGGAAAAAGACCAAGAAGTTTTTTACATTTTTAGAGACAGATATATATCAATATAACAGAATTAATATGAATTTGTAACATAGGGACTTAAAAGATGACAAAAATATTTATAAGTCCAACTGAACAAATGTTACTTCTTTTGTCGCGTTTAGTATATTTAATGCCACTTCAGAGTTCGTTTATTTGAGACGTCTACAGGAAAATTATTTTTAGGATTTTGAAAAATTCAAGATAAAAATTATGTGTGAACTAAATTAGTGTGTGCATTGATAATATATTTTATTTTAGTAAATTAAAGAATTTTAATCGAATTAATGTATTATTATAATGAATTAGCTGAAAGTTTTATTTTTGTAAGTTAGAAATAATTCTATATATTTACATAATAAAAGCTTTATAAAAAAAAATATCAATAATATTAATTCATTATTGTAAGATATGTACTCAGTAGAGTTAATATTGTATTAAATTATTAACCATATATAACTTACAAACATATTTTGATTTGCATCAATAATCATTGATAAAAAAATTATACCATGTTTTGTATTTTAAACAACTCAAAAATAAAAAATGTTCCCTAATAAAAATTTTTTTTAAGTTGTAAAAATATTGTGTTGTAAAATAGATTTTTTTTTTCGTATATATTATGTAAAATAAGATACTTTAAGTCAGCTATTATAAAAAAAGGTTCTAACGCAAATTTTTATATTTTTAAAGAGAACGATTTTTAGTAACCTCTTTTTAAAAATCTTTGATACTTTGACTGTACATATACTACAACGTTATACTGAATATAAAGAAATTTGTTTCTTATAATCAGATAGTAATGAGTTGAGTAAATGAAAAATTGCTTTGACGATGAGAATTCTGATCATTTTAATTAATTGGAATATTTTATTGTTTAGAATTTTTTCAATTTAAGAAAATTGATTGTTCCGCTTCAGTGATACCAAAATTTCTCATTAAATATGTGTCAATAAAGTAGTAATTAACATTAAAATATGAATTTAATAACATAACAAATAATATAAAATGTTGAAATATTCTTACTCAACTTATAATTAATGATATAAGATACAAAATAAATTAATATGAAATATAAATTATAAGATTAGTTATATGAATAATAATTAGTTAAGTAATAATTTATATTTTTATTAAGAAATAACAAAATACCATACATTTAAATATGAATATTAAAAAAATATAAAATCTCTGAGATGTACTTTGTACTATTATAATTTATAGATTAATAGGTAATATCTATGCAACTAAGCAAGTAGTTCAACTCTTTTTTAGAATACAAAAATAATTTAATCGATTCGTATTATAATTTTAATAAATCTTTTTTTATAAATAATATATATCAAGATTGATATATTTAAAGTATTTTCGTTAACATGTATACTCTACATTAAAATAAAAATGAAAATTTCCTTCATAAATATGAAAAGTGCATTAATGCGATCGCATTAATGGCAATTTTATTAGTTACATGTTTATGGAAATATGTTAATTTACATTGTAGTTGCTACATTAAAATTATAATCCGAAGTTTAAATTTATATTTTGTCCTTATTTGTTAATAATAGTTTCAGTTTTAACGTTTCCAAAGAAACGTTAGAAAGTTGCAAAACAATGTAATTTACAGTCTTTCATAAATCAAAAATTCCTTATGCAAAAGTTAAATTTGCAAATGACTTTATGTATTTTTAATATTATTTTTATTTTTCGACTAATTTAACTATATTTTGTTTGGATTTATCATTTTTCTTCGGCTGTTCAGCAATAAGTTACTATGGAAATTTATAGGTTATTTTACTTGTTTTAAATAGATAATAATTATCTATTTTTAAAACATTATTATTACTATTTTAAAAACTTAATTATTTTTTAATTTTCAAAGTACACATTATTTAGTTTGATATTATTAACATAAATTATTTCACAAGGATTTGATCCGTGTGTCCTAAGAGATTTATATTAAATTGAGTAAAACTTAAGCTAAACATCTTTACTTTTGAAAATATTTAAATTAATTTTTTATTATGAATTCATTTAAGCTGACCATTGGATAAGTGATTAACTTTATTATTTTATGAATTTAACTTATTCTTATTTAGTATCCAATTCTAAAATATAATAATCTAGTTTACAAGATGAAATAAATCCATTTAATTTTTAAAGATAAGATGAATCTATTTTATCATTCATTTAAATCAAAATATAGTAATGATTTAAATAACAGTTTTTTTATATAATTGTGCATACAAATATTTTTTATTTAGAATGAAAACCAATGTTGACTAAAATAAAATGTATTAAACGAAAACGGTTATAAATTCGTGGGTTGAAATTAAGTGGTTTAAAGTGTAAAAAATAGTATTGTACGTTTATAACAAATACAATAATAGTTTTTTTATTATTCACCAAATAAATGTTTCCAATAATTGGATATATTTTCACAGTAATGAACAAAGATTTTTAATATGGAGATCTTCATACAACATTAATAATAATAATAGTAACATAGTTCACGAAATGAGCATTCGTGATTTTTTTAGTAATTTAAGTGGCTTTTTGAGTTAAACATTTTTAAGTTTTAAATTAATATTTTTAATACAATTTCAATTTTACATACTATTAGTAACAAGTGACCAATTTTCATTATTTTTAATGGATTATTTAAAAATTTTGATACATATCTTGAACTTAAGTATCCATTAAGAGCATATTAAATGTAAATAAATTTTAAACATTATTTAAACCATTTATAAAATTTGTCACTAAAAAGAGATGATTTCATATTGGTGTTTTACTGGATGGTCTTATTTTAGTATTGTTGTATAAATATAACACTATATTTTAGCTGTCTTTTGAAGTCAATAATAAAAAGCTGGAAAAATATTTACTTTTAATGATTTTTTAAAAATTAAATGTCTTGAATTATTCTTTTAGTTTATTTTTTAGTTATATTACTAACTGTTGGAATTTGATAATCTACCGTCGCGTTGTTTCAGTAGAGTTAGAATAATTATAGCTTAATGGATTCTGTAAAGTTTATAAGATTATACAAGCGTGTTTATCATTCTTTTTATAATAATCCAACCAATACATTATATTCTATGGAAAACCTTACAATGTTGTGTATAAAATATAATACCACATTTATATGTACATAATGTTTTTATTAACGTCAGCTAAAATATGCAAAACTTCATACTGGAAAAGATGTTTGAAACTATTGATAGTTTTTATATGTTGTACACTATTATCATCATTGTTCGAAAGGTTTCCTATTTACTACATTAGATACGCCGTATACATCATAGACACCGATTAAGTGCTAAAAACAAAACAGTGTACATTACGATCCACAGTATCCTTCAAGACGTGCACATGTGTTTACCATGTTTGCAATACCCAACAAGAATCAGCTGCTGCTCAGGGATAACATANGCCGTATACATCATAGACACCGATTAAGTGCTATAAAAACAAAACAGTGTACATTACGATACACAGTATCCTTCAAGACGTGCACATGTGTTTACCATGTTTGCAATACCCAACAAGAATCAGCTGCTGCTCAGGGATAACATATAATAGTTGTTCCCCACTCGTCATGTTCTTTAATAGCGTTTACTATTTAGTGTAGATCGAATCTTGGCCACAAGTCACTCTCTTGTTTCTTCATCAATTTTCCAGCGGCTTCCGCTCAGCAGACCTCACCATGGAACAACAGATATCCCCGATATACACAGTATGCGCGAACATGAAAAATCCACTTGATTATCTTGACTATTTTATTTTCATTGAAGACTAGAATACAATTCACAATTTTTTTTCAGGTATTATCGTTGGGGGCTGATATTCTTCCTGAGTATAAGTTACAATCACCCAGAATCCACAAGTGGACCATACTTCATTACAGTCCATTTAAAGCGGTATGGGACTGGATCATTTTACTTTTAGTTATTTATACGGCTATTTTTACTCCGTACTTTGCGGCTTTTCTTCTAAATGAACCTCATTTCAAAGGACCAAGACCATTAAAGTTTAGTTTCGACGATCCTCTGGTGGCCGTAGATTTTTTTGGTGAGTTTTGTAATAATATCATCTATTACCTTTGATTAGTTGAATTTAAATTATTCATTATGCATTTATTGTTTTGATTTCAGTGGACATAACGTTTATTATCGATATAGCCATCAACTTCCGGACTACGTACGTTAATAAGAACGATGAAGTGGTGTCGACGCCAAGTAAGATAGCATTACATTACTTTCGTGGATGGTTTCTGATCGACTTGGTTGCCGCCATACCTTTTGATCTTATGATTGCCGGTTCTTCAGCTGAAACGGACGAGGTAAATTTATCATTCAAAATATTATTAGGCCGAGATCCCACGACATTAAATTGTCTATTATTATTTTTGGTACAAATTCTATTTAATGATCTTTTTACGAATTATTTATTGTTAAAAATTGTGACAAACATGTGTCGAGTCTCATAAGCGCTAAGACATGTAAAGAATTGTGGGATCTTGGTTCTTTGGCGCACGGGTAATATGTAATTCTTTGTGTAATATCTAATTCATTATAATTAATATTTCATTTAAAGTATGAAATTTTAACTTTTATATTATATCGTTTTAATTGTTAGTGTAAAAATTAGTGTTTGATAACCCTGTGATAAGCCCTTTTTTCATTTAATGTCTAGTCACTAGATCACCAATATTTTATTTTAATTTCTATATTATATATAATGGTTTATTTTTAATTACACTTATTAACCTATCAGGTTATACTTAATTTAATTCAGTTGGAGCTATTCGAGGCAAAAATATCAAATTTCAACCCCTTTAAAAGTTTTACATACAGAGTGAATTTCAATAGAAATCCTATAACTTTTGATTTAGTTCATATTTTCTTTACTTTTTATGACCATACTTTCAATATAATTAATATCAATATATTTTTTAGCTAAAAAAAAAAATTCAATTAAAGTAATCTTTTCAAAATTTAATATAACTATGAAAAAATGTTAATGCAATTTTATTAATTTATTTCATTAACGTTTTAAATTTTATAATAAAAGTTTATCAATTATGGCTAATATTATTTAAAACTAAAAAAAAATTAAACTATTGAACTCAAAAACGACAAAAATTATTAAAAAATCACTAATACATTTTTTGGGAATAATGTTGCCAAAATTATAATCAATGCTAAACCAATACTGATTTTCCGATCAAAAAGAACATAATATAAGGGAGACAATATAATTATTAAGAAATAAAAAATCTTAATTAATTGGGATCTTGACCAATTGAAAAATTCATTATTAAACTGATAAAATGTGATAACATCATTTAGTGATAAGGTTACTAGGGTAAATAAGGGAGTAGTTTTTTTTAGAGGTGTCAGTATGTGTTTAGCATTAATAATGGTAACATTGATAACGAAATACATATTTTGATGTTTTTAGTATATTTTGTGACTTTTTGAGTTAAATATTTTTTAGTTTTAAATTAATATTTTTAATATAATTTTTATTTTGAAATTTAAATTCTGTATCATTTTAAAAGTTCGAATATTTTTAAATTTTATATTTTCATAATATATTAAAATTTCAAGAAAAAAACTTAAGTAAATAAAAAGCTCAATGTATTTATGCTATACGATCGTGCTGTGTAAGTTATTTTTGCAATGAAAGTTATTATCGTTTGATGAACACTTTCATAATTGAAGTGAAAAAGTGACTAGGTACAATATTGTTATAGTATGATACCAAAAAAGTCTATTTTCGTTATTAAAATGCCAAAGAGTTATCTTATTTTTATTTAAATAATATTGCTATTTAAATTTTTAAGTTCAATTACAGATGCTCATCTAAGCGATGATAATTTTATGAAAAAAAAAATACCAATAACCATTTTTTAACATGAAAACATAGCGTTCCTTATGTTCTTTACTTAATAAATATATCAATGTTAGTTACCGTAAAAAAACTCATGAAAATTCTAATGTTCACAAAATTTAAAATGATACTTCAAACTTACTATTTAACATTAATTTGATATTTTTTTATATTTGTCATTAAATATTTTTGATAAATTAAAAATATATTTTATGTTGTTATACTTTCACAGTCCTCAATTATAAAAATTATATTAAAAAGAAATTAATGTAATAAATTAATTGGACCAAAATTTTTTGAATTTTTTATGCCATTGTGACTAAATACTGCAATATTTACCCTAATCTGTTTATCTACAATAGACTGTACTCACTTTTGGTATTTATTTTTTGTGTAGTACGTGTAGCGAGTTGACGGAGTCATGTACGGCCTACCGGGGGCTAAGTTGAATGCGGGTGGGCTTTTAAAACTCTCATATTCCACTTGCTTCACCAGGGATAATGTGTGCTGCTGTTAAAACTCTATAATAGTTTCTTATCGATGAACTAACAGTAGCAGAAAAACTAAATTCCGATATTATTTGAAAGCTGGGTATTAATCGCGTTATGACATTTTTTGTTGTTAAATTAAAACTTTTCGGTCTCTACGATAAATATTTTCTCAATAAAATTCTTCGAATATATAGAACGATATGTAGCGTTCAATTGCTCTACTTTTTTTTTTGTTAGACATGTGACTAGATACTCCTACAGGAATCAAGCACATGTATAAAACATTTTTTCATAGTTTATACTAGTGATTTAGTTACATAATAGGTGTGAAATATAGAATTAAGGGTGTTAACACTAGTATTGCTGTGTTCAAAAATAGACATTCTTTAACATTAGTTTGATAATCGTTTCAGTTGTCTATGGAAACACAACAGAAGACCGAGGAGGTTTGTGAAAACCAACAAAATAATTTAGAGTAGAACGTAGGTTTTATAGACGTAGAAGAGAATTTAATTAAAGTGCATTAATATTATTATAGTAGTTGATAAATATTGTTTTTTTTTGTTTGTTTTATCCCGTAGCTTCTTTTATTCACGATGCACAAAGTATAATATTATTATAGAATAACACAGTTACACCCATTTTTTTATGTTAATCAGTATGAGTATGTCACTGATTAATCCGTCGTAGAGTAGCCAAAAGTTTTTTTTGTTTTTTTTTATCTTTTAAACTTTTTTGCTTAATACGCGGTCGTCTTATTCTACCGCTTTGAAATAATAATTAATGTTCGTTTTTGTGTTCATGAAATTTCTTTTTATTATTTACAGACTACCACTCTAATAGGACTTTTGAAGACTGCCAGACTGTTAAGGCTCGTTCGGGTCGCCAGAAAAATCGACAGGTATTCGGAGTATGGGGCTGCCGTTTTGTTATTGCTGATGGCTACATTCGCATTGATTGCACATTGGCTTGCTTGCATATGGTACGCAATTGGGAACGCTGAAAGACCACATTTAGCTAGTAAAGTGGGATGGCTTGATATATTAGCTAACGACACTCATCAGTTTTATTCACACAATAACACGGGTGGACCCAGTATAAGGGTGAGTAAATTGATTGATTTGATTTATATGTTGAATACCAATGTCTATTTATTAATGTAATGCTAATAAATTTCTTCATTTATTTATTACGATGCGTTTCAGTCGAGGTATATCACGGCATTATATTTCACGTTTAGCTCGTTAACCTCTGTGGGGTTTGGAAACGTCGCACCTAACACGGACGCAGAGAAAGCATTTACTATATGTGTTATGCTCGTTGGATGTAAGTATACAAATTTTAATTACAAGCCGCGGGACGTGATATTAGTGCACCACAGTAGCTTATAAGTTCCGCTTCGTTGTAAAGCTATGCTTAAGGTTAATATTTAAATCATTCCTGCTCGCTTAACTCTAAACTTAAGCATAAAAAAGTTGTTAAAAATTTCAAACGTCCTATATTCAACGTTTTAAAAGAATACTATAGGTTTAAATAAATTTCACTTATAAAATTTATCGTATTAATTAATATAATTTATTTTAGCTCTCATGTATGCTAGTATATTCGGTAACGTTTCTGCGATTATTCAGCGATTATATTCCGGTACTGCTAGGTATCATACTCAAATGCTTCGGGTCCGAGAGTTTATTAGATTCCATCAGATACCTAATCCTTTAAGGCAAAGATTGGAAGAATATTTTCAAGTAAACTTCGATCATTATCAAAGAAATTTTATTAAAAATTAACCTTGGCAATTTTATATTATTCTATAGCATGCATGGACTTATACAAATGGTATCGATATGAACAGCGTACTCAAAGGATTTCCGGAATGTCTACAAGCCGATATTTGTCTACATCTCAACAGAAATTTATTGAAAAACTGTTCGGCGTTCAACGGTGCTTCGCCCGGTTGTTTGAGGTTCGTTTTAGATGAATTCTTTTAATTTTATACATTTATAATGTGTTCTTTAGAGCGCTGTCGTTAAAATTTCGAACCACTCATGCTCCACCCGGTGACACACTTGTTCATCAAGGAGATGTGCTAACATCGCTGTATTTTATATCAAGAGGTTCCATCGAAATATTAAAAGACAATGTAGTCATGGCTATACTGAGTAAATTTTTACATCGACATTTCACAAAATGGCGGTTAATGATGTATAACTTTATTGTAAATATTCATGTAGGTAAAAATGACATATTCGGTGAAAATCCGTGTAAACACGCTACAATTGGAAAATCGTGCTGCAACGTGCGAGCTCTTACATATTGTGATTTGCATAAAATCGATAGGAGTGATTTACTTGAAGTATTGGATTTATATCCTGAGTTCTATCATTCGTTTAAAGAAAACCTTGAAATCACATACTATATGCGAGATGTGAGTGTAAATCAATAGAAATAAAATCGATGGTCTTATACTCTATTAAAATAGTAGACAATGTATTGTACATAAATTTTCATAGGAAACGCAAGTTGGGGTAGATCCAAGAGCTGGTAGGTATAGCAGAAAGATTCGATCAAGGTCTAGTTCACAGGAACCAATCGGTGGTACGGCCAATATTGGAGCGACAAAACGGTATTATCACAGCTTTCATAGAGGTGTATCGGAGAGCTGTATAGGACCGTCAGAGCCTTTAAGAGATGATATGAACGATATGGACAATGTCATGTCAGATTTCAACAACAGGTAAATGGAAAAAATAGTTTAAGAATAAATTAAAACAATTTTTAATTGTGCAAAATAGAATTTAGTATGTGGATAATCGTATAGATGATAGCAATTTATGTACTTTTTACTTCTGTTTTACATTATTATTATTATTACCAACAATATAATTTGTTCTTTTGGAAATTGTTTTTTTGATCTCGTGAGATTCTACTAACTAAAAATAATGAGGACTGCATTGGTAAAAATTGACAATTTCTTTTTTAGGAATATTTGTCAAATTATTCCACAATAAAAATTATAGTAAAATAATTTAATTAAGTCCAAAAAAGAAAAACATTTTATAAAACCCGTCCAAAATCAGCCTTTTATCCTTAATTATAATTATACATGATTTTGTTAATTTATACAGTGAGAAATACCCTGATGGTCATGGTATTTTAGAGTTTTCAACAGAAAAAGCAGGCCAAGATGTAACTCCAATGAATTTGAGGTTTGAAGACGAAGCTTCACAAAACCGGAATTCAACTCTCAATTCGATCTCCGGTATGTAAATAATTAAATTTACGTAAAAAACAGGATTTTTTCCCTAAATATACAGTGGAGCATTTTTCAGCTAGCTGATGAATAATTTAATTTTACAATTATTTTATTATTAGTTGATTGTAACAAAACTAGTTATAGACTATCATAACTAAACGTAGAAATAGGCAAGAGGGCAAGAGAATCAATATAAAACGCATTTTCTACGTTAAGACTAAACAATTTATTAGTATTTAACGATTAGTTAATAAATAAAAACTTAATTTATCAATAATATTAACCTCTGTTTGTAATATGATAATAAAAATTAGTTAAGGGAGATAATCCCAAGCTTTGGTATGCGCTTTGAACCCTGACAAAATGAAAATAGCGTTTTGTTGAAAAATACTTGATTATTCGTTATTTTGTTTTTGTTTTGGGTGGGTTCAGGCATGTTCAGCCAACTCAAACGTAGTGTTACTGACATTCGCTTGCATGGCCTATCGCAAAAGCAACAAGGCAGAGACGAGGAAAATGGTAAAGCTGGTAAATAAACTAGCGAGAAATTGTATTTTATTGATCAGCAAAATACTAAAATTTTTTTACATTTATTTAGGTAACTCTGGCGGATTGAAAACTTCAACATCTCACAAACATTTATTTGCTTCTCAATTTAATGAGAATCAACCGTTGCTCGAACATCAACTGCCCAGTAGGAATAAATTTGTTTTTTTTTAATAATTGTGTGTATAAAATTGAAATTGGATATCAATGACTTTTTAGTTTCTGAATCATCTGCACTGTCACATGAACATCACAAGGACAGTATCAGCAGCGAGCACGCCAGCGTACAAAATGTATCGGCAGCCTGTTTTAGTATGACCGCATCGTCGCATTATGGGACACCAACGGCCCAAAGCCCCTTACATTCCACTTGTAAAGCACAAACCCCACCCTACCCCAAAACATCTAGTGAGTATAAATTACAATTTATAATTACACTCGTATGTCGATTTTATTAAATAAGTTTCAGGGAAAATGTTTTATTTTACTGTTACCTTAAACGATGTAATTTTCTTCGATTGGCAAACGTATCGATTCAGTAATTTTAAATTTTCTTGTAGTGACTGTGATCGCTGATAATACGACTGTGATAACGCCCCCGTCACCGCAACGTGCAATTACTTCATGTTCGCAGTGCGGCAATATCGACGTGCATTATCGTATAGACAGACTGTTCAAACAATTCGACAATTTAGAGCAATCTGTTTCGAACGACATAAAAACGATACTGCATATATTGAAATACAAAAACGGTGACTTCCTGGTACCGGAAGTAAGTGATTGAAACCGTAGTAACCAAGCTCGTTATTAAACGTAGAACAACCTGAGTAATACCTTTTTAATTTTATACGTGTTGTTTTTTTCAGAACCGATTGGATGGTTGTAGATTGAGGCCATCGCCTATAAAAAAAACTTCAAGTATACCATCTAGCGAGCATCTGCCCAGGCCGACTTTAGCAGTAAAGTTTAGGTATGAAATTTAGTTGTTAGTCGCGATGGTATTGTATTTCCGAAGCGTAATTTTTTTAATAAATAATAGGAGTTCGTCGCAAGACGAAACGAAAAGTGAGAGCCGATGTCGACAGCAAGTGTCACCGATTCGACAGTCATCGGATCCTCAATCAATTACCATTCCAAGGCGAAGTTATTCCCAACCTCACGATCTCTGCCAGGTAGGATGTTTAATATTGTAATTTTTCTCAGGGAGTTTTGTACTTAGTTTCAAACTTGAAATAACATGAAGTAATTTTTTTAATCAGATAACATATGCTGAAAAATGTGTAAATATACATAATAGCATTACTATAATGTATCTAAGTAAATTTTTTCGCTTCTTGGTAAACACTATCGCATTTTCACATTTTAAAACTTTTTACTACTATATTTAATAAAAGTTAGAGTCATTAAACTCAGCAATAATCGTGTTTCTCTTTTACATTATAGTTCCTACGTTTTACGAATACTTCGCTTAAAAATAAAATTACCGAATGAAGTTTAAATGTAAAGTTTACACATAACTTGAGTTCATCTTATGTGTTAAATTCGATCTCAAATAAAAATAAAACAATTTTTAATCAAAGAAATGTTCATACTCAAAGAAAATAACAATTTCTCATATGAATTGAATCGTACGGCATAATAACGTTAAAAAGAATAAAAACATACACATATATATTCTTTTTATTAAAATTTGTTCACGAGTATACTCGAAACAAAGGCCGAGTTTACATTCGATTTTTAGGTCATTCTGCATGTGTCAACCCACTAAAGTTATAGACAAAGAAAAATATCAAATACTACACAAAGTATTGCTATCGAATAAAAATAAAATGTTTTGCATACTCATAAATTTTTGTGAAAATTTATTATAGACGTGTTCAACCTAAAAGAAGTTTAATTACATTCATGTCTTCTAGAATCCCTTATTCGGCTATTGTAGTTTAACGGTTTTGTAAAAAGTTCGTCAACATTATGTGATTTTTATTTAAAATGTTAAAGTTGTTTTCACTGAAATTATACTTTATGATTAAAATTAATTTATAATTAGATTCTAGTTTGCTCTTCTCTTTGTGTGATTACGTGACCAAATAACAATTTTGTCTGTTGTTAATTGACTGACTAATTAGAACCAATACTCTTCCCCTTACACGCACACACACACAAAAAAAAGCAAAAAATATCTTCCACCTGACCCTATTCTTTTGTGCTCAGTTTTGTGATTCTGGTCGGCGGATACGATTATTGATCGCCCGACTAGTACACAGTAGACTATGTACTATACTAAGACGCTTTCTGTTCTCGGTTCGGTCGAGCGATAGCGGCGTTGCTTACCACCTACTTATTCAAACTGATATATGTTTTTGCTTACTTGGGAAAAGTTGTTGTACAAATAATAATGCGGCTCAGTGGTGTTGAATTTCCTGAAATATTTGTTGTCGTGATGCTTTTGTGTCACAGTCGTTTACAACTCATAAACATAAAACGTACACAATGTTTACAGCTTTATGAAATGTAAGCGCTATAACATGTTTTTCAACCCAAGATAAGAGTTAACAAAACATGTTTCTAGAGATATTATGTTTAATTTAATTCAAGTTTACATTATAAAGTAAAAATTATAGCGTAAAATATTGATAGAATATAATGAAGTTTCCATTGAAGAAATCAGAGTTTAAGAGCTTATAATCAAAGTATATGAAGTTCACTTTATTATGCTGAAGAGATTGCTTGTTTATTGCTAAGAGTTTACACGTGCGGTTAAATGCTGTTTACAAGACGAAGCACTTTCGTATTCTCTGTAAATAAAATAAATTGCTCTTAGTATTGTCTTAATATTTTATAAAAGAAAAACATAGTTGGGTTTTAATTATAATGTCAATTATTTCTTCTATTTTATTTCTAAGTGTTGATGTTTTACTATGCCTAACTAATATCCGATTAAATTTTTTCAAGCTATATAATAAAAATATATCACTCGTGGTTAATATAATTAAAAATTTTAAATATATTTAAAAATAAAAAATATTAAACTCAAAAAGCCACAACAATTACTAAAATTAGTATGCTCGCTTTTTAGTAATTGTTGTGGAAATTATAATTTAATATTTTTAAATTTTTCAAGCTATTTAATATAAAAATCGAGATAGTATCCTAATGTGTTGATCTCCTATTACAATAAAACAAACAAACATGATTGTAATCAGTTTTATGTATGTGTTATTTGTCAACTCAGTAGGTGAATTGATAAACATTCCGTGACCAAAATGTTTATTCAATAAGTGTAGTTCATAGCGACAGGAACTATTTTTATTCATGCAGATATTTTTTAAATTACCAGCAATATGTCTTCGTTATAAATGTCTTCTTGCTGCACCACTCGTACGTTATCTGTTCACTATAAAATATGAATTTATCGAGTACTAAACTGAGGCCCATAGTAATACCATAAATATTCGTTATTTTCATATTTTCTAAAGTTTAATACATTTATGAGTTAGGTTGTAATAAGTTATTTACATTTAGTAATATACTTATTATGCATTTTTTATAACTTTCATTCAAAAAAATAAATCAAATAAAATATTTATCGGTATAATAATAAATTATATTTACTGTTACATACAAATGAAATTAGTTTATTTTTTTACAATAAAAACTTATGGGGTTTCTAACAACTTTAGTTAAACTACTTGTGTACTTTAAAATGCATATTGTATTGTTGTTGGTTATTTTAAACTAAACTCATTTGTTTCGTGTAAGATGGTTAATTTTTTAAAAGGATTATAAATGATTTTTGATTTGCTAATACTAAATATTTAGTTTTAACAAACTTTCATATTTTTCGGGTAGTTCTTTAGTTTTAAAATTCTCTGTTTAAGTATAAATAATATTTGAAAAATATTTTTTAAATTTTTTATTGATTATGATTTATTTTATAGACCCAACAGAATCGTTTGTCAAGGGAAATGCCAGCTGCCAATATCTTTGACATTTCCAGGTAAGATTTTCTTATTTAAATAAATTAAATTAATTTGAAATATTTTTGAATAAATTTGAACAAAATCATATAATTTATTAATTGTTTAGTTTGTCTTCCTCTAACATGGATTCTGCTGTTGCCAGTCAAAAACGACACCAGTTTGCAAGTTTGAGAAGTACGACCAGTTATAATTCCAGTGATGATGGCAATGTTATCGAATTTACGCCGTTGGCACCACTTGCTAAACTAGATTCGTTACATGAAACAACAGTGAGAATACTTATATTTTCTTTTTTTTTTTTTAAGATCATAGTACCAATTAAAGACATCGTGGCTAACATTAATACAAGTATTATTTTTTTTGACGTTAAAAATGTGTCACTTAATTTAAAGACAAAATAAATGGTATAAAAAAAATTTATGAATTTTAATTTATTTTATTGTTACATTAATTAATATAGGAGGTTAGCAGTTTTTTTTGACCTTTGTTTTTAAAAAAATAGGATTAATAATGTCACGATTGGTTCATAGAATGCATTATATTTAAACTTTTATAATGTGTTGCATAAATAATACTTTCGGGTAAAGGATAATACATAGCAAACATTTTAAATAAACCATACCAACAATAAATTTTAAATGTATAAATTTATTAAATTTGATATTTTCTATGAAGTATTGATTAAAAATATAAACATATTTTAATAGTAATTTACATGAAATAGTTACTATGAAAATGTTTGAATTTTTCATGCTAAAACTATCTACTGACGATTTCAAAGTTTATAATTTAACTTAACAAACACATTTACAATTTTACTACAACATTTTTTTTAACACAATTTATATCTAATGAAGAATTCATGAAATGACGATGGAATTATTGCTGATGTTTGAAACCTAAGGCATTATTAATTCAATTGTTACATCAATGAAAATCTATTTATAGGATTCCCTGTTCTTTGTACCGTGTTACATGTTTTGAGTTATTATTATTTTTTAATAAACTATCATATTTCATATTAATGATGTTACAGGATTCGTCGGATGCTCAAAGTCGTCCAAGCAGTACGACCACCAGTCCGTCACATCAGTCACAACAACAGGGAACTGGTTTGTAACCTCAGCCGATATCATTCTCTTGTCTGTAATTCAAGGTGGAAAAATAACGAGCTTGTTGTATTTTTATTTACATTTTTTTATTCGAATCACAAACAATTTTTGCGCTTTATTGAATTTAGCGTATTTGAAATTTGATCAATCATTAAAAAATAATAATGAAAATTGTTTTCTAGTGTTATTTTTGTTAATGACATATAAATTACGGTTTTTTTATACGCTGAAAAAATTTAAAAACAGAAAAGACGACTAATTTTTTTTTGTGGGAGTTTTTGAAGAACAAATTTGTTAATTATTATAATATATTTATACTATAGTTAAAAGACAAGCGTCAATTGGGGGTTTAATATAGTTATATTAATAACTTGTTACAAAATGTATAAACACTGTAATTTTTTTACACGTTTAGGCGACATTCGCTTTGACTTTATTTATCGGTTCTCAAGTCTGACCATATACTTTAATTATAATTTAAGTGTATGGTGTAATTGATAATAGTTATTATCAATATACCTAATGCATTTTTTGTTAGACATTTGTGTATGGTTATCTATCATTAAATTATACGTATTCGTTGTTTTTTAATAGAAATATTTTTATGGTTGCTGAACTTATAAGACTAAGTATTACTATTGATTATGTTTATATTATATATAGATGTTTTTCATTTTATAGCTTTAATTGATTATTTTATTTCTACGTGTATTGATTATTTTTTTAAACTATTATATTGTATAAATTTAATAAAACACTTAATTTGATCAGATCGCATATCTCGAGGTGCCTCAATCGTTGCCTATTAATATTTTTTTGGTAATTGTTAAATTTAAATTTAATGTTTATTGTTGTTGTTATCAACCTCGCTTTTTTATTTGTTTACTTTTACCTGGCAAACCAATTATGGTTTAGTGTAATTTTTGTTAATCTTATCTTTTTGTAATAATATTGTTGAACCTCAAGTTTTATCCACGTGCTCACACAAATAAAATACGAAATTTTTACATTTTATACATAGCATACAATGAGAAAAATCAATTATCAACACCAACCATTATTCTTGTTATTTAAAATTATTTATTTCCGTGGATGATTTATTTTGTATTGTTTTGTTATTAAATTATAATAATTGAGAACAATAAAAATATTTGTCTTAATTTTTTTTAACAACACATTTGATTAAAAAATACTGAATATGACGTTTCTTTGTTTTTGAGTATACTGGTGTACAGTAAGTTAGGAAATGGGTTTTTATTGTTCTCATTGTTTATAATAATTAATATGTTTCTTTACTTACTGAACACGCTGTATAATATACACTGTTTTCTCGTCCTCTTTGGCATAAACTATAGCTTTTCGAGAGGACGTCAAATATAAATAAATAATACATATAAATTAACTAAAACAAATTAATTATATTGGGTGAAATGAAATTTAAATGTTCTATGCCACTATGACTTTAATAAAATAAATTAAACAATATTTTTGTTTATTATAAAACTTTTGCATTGAACTTTAGAAATTAAAGACTCACAAATAGACGTCGAATCTCAATAACTTTAGTTCTTGTCTGAAGTTTATGCTGATTTAATGTTACTGACGGATTACAAAAAGTTTGATGCTGTCTAAGAAAAACACATTGCATAAACGGATATGATTCAGGATAGCCGGAAGTGATGTGTGCAAATTTAGAGATGTTATTGTTACTTGATTATACGAAGGAACGTTTTGACATATAGGAATCAAGCTCAGAATATGTTGGCTCTATTTTAAATGTGTTGGAGGCTAGTAAAAATACACGTAATATGTTTTAGGCAAAATATTCAGAAAAACTTGAAACTTAAGATGTAGATTCTAAGCTTGGTGTGATTCTTAACTCAACTGACATGAGGCTAACTAACTTTGTTAATGAAAAGGGCAATAAGCTGTTTGCTTATCCCATTGACAGAGCTTTGTTTATATTATTTCTGCTACATTTATAGAACTATTATATGGTTAGTAACTCACTAATGTAATCAGTCAGTTAGCACAGCGTTATTAAGTAAAAGTTATTGGCTTGATTATTGACATCAGGTATTTGTTGGCAGATCATTTTCGCCGTTGACTGAGTTCTTCATGCAATCAGTTCATGAAAATGGCAATGAAATTGGGACTACCACTAGCTTTTTGATTTATACGACTACACATAGCTAAAAAATGTTGATTCTGTGTCTGAAACTGATGGCCGGTAGACTGTACCAATGATGTGATAACGTACTGTTAGTTTACACCATTAATAAAGATACCACAGTCGATTATATTGATAAGATATTCCGTAACTTAGGAGAAATAATTTCTCTCATATTTATAGACCGTGAACTCTTGTATACTGTTATAACATATATGTTATATAGCGAACCTATCAATGAAGCGTTACAAAATGATTTTAAGTTCAATAGTATGATATTATTTTTATTTGCATTAATTGCTATTATTTAGCTTTAATATATAATTAATTATATATTAGCTGTAGGTTTGTAAATAACTATAAATTAGTGAAAAACGAGCATACACAAGCAAAAAAAAAAAAAAACTAGCGCAATACTGCACAGTACAAACGTAGTATAGAAATTAAAATAAATTATAAATAGTTGTATATTCCTATATGGAAAATTCGTATCAAAAATATTAGTATGGATTTAACATGAAAAATGAAAGAAAGTTAACTTTCTTAATTCAATTAATGTGGCCTTCGTTAGTTCATTATTAATTCAGTTATGAAATTGAAATTGTAATTTATGATAAACTATTGTCAGCTATAACATATTTTTAGAAAGGCCAGTCCCTTCCTTTTAATATACTTATTGAATGACGTTATATAATATTTGTAACTAACACTAAATCTGTTTATTTTAAGGGGTGGGGTTAAATTGGCACTTATTCCTCTATTCCTACAGAGTTTTACCCTTGACATAAAATATAAACATAAATAAGTAACAAAAAAATAAAAATTATAGCAACACGAAAAACTATGATTTTTTAAACTAAAATAACATTTTTTTTAACTGGAGAGCCAATTGCGCATAAAAGAGAAATCGTCGGGATAAATTTTTTTCTTAACTTTTAGTATGTAACATAAGCTTTATTAAACATATGTTTAAGCCCGGAGTATTTCCGGAACATTTTCTATATTTAAATTGAAAAGGTTAACTTTTTATGCAAAAACAGCTATTTTGAACTCCTTCAATGAACAGGTCAAGGGTCAGATTTTCAAACAAAATATACCTAAAAAAGGGAAATACATACAGTATTTATAAAAATAATTTGTTTTGATTGATCCATTTTTAAAAATGTTATGACAGATTTAAGTAAAATAGTTTCAAAAAAAATGTAAAAATTATCGATTTTAAAAATAGTAGTTTTTTGGTTGATTAGTTCCATTTGCGCAGGATGAGGGAAAAATTTTAATTTTCGAGGGTATTGTCTTCAACTAAATATTATTTTTGATTTTTTGACGTATTGTTGAAAAATATAGGAATAGATACAAAAAAATAAACACATAATGGTAAAAAAAATACCTTGTCAGCGAAACTGAAATGATCAAAAACGGATCATCCTAAAAGTAGTACATACTTGGCGATCCGTTTTTCATAATACACTAAATTACTCTGATATAATTAGAATAATTTCAGAAATTTTGTTTTTGGATTACTTTAGTTATAATTTTCTTGATTTATCAATTATCAAGTACTTTTGTTTTATTCACCCCTTTCACTTTATAAGCGTGGTGTCAACTTAATTTTTTTTTTAACATAAATATTTATCTAGCTTATGAAATAGAAAATGGCTGGTTGGTAAAACTTTTAAACCGGTACTCTGTGAGTGATTAACATTTTCATACACAAGCCGAAGAAGATGTGCAGCCGCGAAATGTCTAATGATAAAAACAGTCATACATGCGCTTCACTTGCACTTCTAGTCAGCCCAACTACGTTTCCATTATTCGTAAAATCTTCTTGTGACGTCAGACGGTCATAGCGCAAGCTCTCCTGTTTCACAACCACCGCCGTCATAACAACCACACGAATCGCGCACACTCTCCAAGAAGCGACAAAACGGCACATCGTGTGTGAGTATGTGTAACACGTTATAGTACAGACGTTTACATCCGACAAACGGTAGTACCACTAGAGACATGGACGCGATCAAGTCCGCAGACCGCAACAAGTCCAAACGTGACTTTCGGTATGCTGAGAGCCAACTTCGTAATTTGAACACAAAAATCGTAAGCATATCAAAATGTTTAGATTGAATACTCAATATAAGTTGCGTTGAATTTAAAAAAGATATTTTTTTTAATCAATTTACGGATTAAATTTATTTTTAAATAATAAAAAGGAGGTAGGTTTTTTTTTTAGTATATGTATTGTTTTAGCTTCAGTTGTTATACAAGTAGTTAATTTTTCTACAAATCTATTGAAGTGATTTCATATAAAATTTTTTAATTAGTGGTTTTTAGATGAAACCTCAGAAAATTATTAATATAAGCCTAATGAGTAAGATTTTAGTAATTTTTGGCTACCAAATTAATATATTATGTATAGGGTCCGGAGTTTTATGCAATTATAGACTTTTTTAAGTTATTTCAAACACACCATCGGCCAGAACAAATTTGTATTAATTGAAAAATTAATAATTTGTTGTTAACCAGGTTATAGTTTTGGATTGATTAGAGGGGTTTAATTCCCAAAACAAAAAGTATTTCTATGCAACGACAAAGTCGGAACCCTCCAAATTGGCTCAATCAAAATTTATAAATGCATATAATTCGTAACCTTACATACAATGACATCGACGTGATTTTTTTAAATGGCAACGTACATACTTAACTAGGTTATACAATAAAAAATCAAAGGCATTCGAGTTTATATACTATCCATAATCAAATAGTAAATTTATATATTTTAAATTATATTTATTAATGTTTCATTGTATAAATTCGTAATATCAGTAATAAGAATTTTAATACGTATTATTCATTATATACTTATATGATTCTCTTCACTTATGATTGTTAATTTGAAATTTACGGTTGAGTTTGATTTATAAAGCAAAATTTGTTTTATTAATCAAATTATAATTAAAAAAACAACGATTTATTATTTTGTAGAGGTGAGGAATTTAATACATTTAAATATATTAAATATTTAAATATATTAAGATAATATACTCATTATTTGCCCATACGAGTATTTGTGTTTAAGTACATGTGTTTAAATTATATAGTGAAATGCATAAGTACAGAATTGATTAATTTAAACTAAAGTGTGTGACGTCAAACTAGCTGTATTTATTATGTCGCGTTCACCTACATTCGTACACAGACGTATATATGATAGTATATTGCTCGAGATACACGGAGTAATGTCTCAGGTTTACAATATTCCCCATGGATTTTGAAATATATTCTTTTCAGTTATGTGTATTCTTTTATTCGTATCGACTTAATCTTGGCGAGGTAAATGACAGTTATTGTTTTGGAAGATCCGACAAAGACATATTATTGCGAATCACAATGAACATATTGTCATTGTTTTAAACATTTATCTGACTCAAAATGATACAAAAAAAATTTACCGGAGTAGTTTGATTTGACGTATAAAATAAATGACATTTTTAAGAAATTACAACATATTACTGTTATTAAATAACAAAAACAATAATCTAACAAACAGTTTTTTAACAATTATATTATGTGACAACATTTTTACAAATATCTCATTTTAACTTTTATGCTGTTCTTTTGGTCATGTATTGTTTTAATAAAGCTGTAATAACCAAGCATAAAATAACAATAGAGTGAATACTATTCCATTTAAGGTTTGTAGATTTTATTATAACCAAAAGGAGGGCTAGGCCTAGTGGCTAAATAAAATGTACCCTGAAGCCTAAAAAAAAATAAAAATTTATATTATCCGGATAAATACGTTTGGATGAAATAATCTGTGTGACCAATTATTTATAACTACCTTTTTTTTGCTGCTATTCCCATGTACTGAACTTCACGTTTTTCCCTATAAGCAAAATCTCTTATACATGTGCCATTTGTAAATGATTCATATGTATTGCATGCTACCGATGGAAAGCCTGTCGGATTTATTACAGATTCAGCAAAATATTCCCACGCTCTGTCGTGACTACAAGCCACTAAAAAATATTTATTGAAATTTTATTTTTGAGTATTATCAAACTTTAGAAAGAAAACCAGAAATATCAAATGTCATTTAACTATGTATTAGTTATATATATATATATATATATTTTGTAATATTCAACAATTCAACACATTTTCGTTAAAAATGTAATATATTAACTCCATAGTTGTTTCGAAGAACTACTAAAATTACCTAATTTTTTTCGTATTTAACAAATAAAANATTAATTTCATAGTTGTTTCGAAGAACTACTAAAATTACCTAATTTTTTTCGTATTTAACAAATAAAAATCGAAATTTTTATTACTAAGATAAATGCAAAGCGTACATTTTATTGTAGATACTTTTATTATCTTCTGTGAGTTAATAAAATTTACCAAGAAATAATGAAATGTAAAATTCGACAAAGAGTCGCCAAGTTTCTCAATTACTGTGTTTTGAAACAACAATACAGAATTATTTATTAATATTGTCAATGTTTTTTCCATTAATATTTTTTGGCTGTGTATGTAAGATTTTTGTGATATAATCTTTAAACATAAATTTGTTCAAATTACCCTATTTATATCAATTTACTAATATTATTATATAATATTCAATATTAACCTCAACAAAAAATTGAATACTTGAAATTATTAAAGATATTATTGTTATTAAATACTACGCTGAAGATTTGAAAACTTTAAATAATATTTCAAATACGTATATTTATTGTCATTAATATTAAATAATAAATGTATTTTTAAATACTAAAAAAAGTATCTTAAGTAACCATTTATTTTTGCTTATTAACTTACGTAATATAACAATTAAATGTTTTAATTTGTATAGACTAGAGCTGAGCAATTTCGGCCAATCCGGATTACGGATCGAATCTGTCAATTGGGATTGTAGATTGAAGCCGTCGATTCGAACTATGGATTGAATCCGGATAACAGATTTGCTAATTAAATCCGTTAAACTAGTTGCATAATATGACATAAACTTATAAAACAAATTTTTTCAAGATGTTTTTACGGATGTTGAGTAATAAAAATTTGTTTTGTATTAAAAAATGATTATTATAGGAATTGACGGATATAATCCGTTATCCGGATTTCTTGCTCAGTCCTAGTATAGACTTAATGTAAGCATGTCATGAATGGTTGTTTCTAGATAGGAATTAAATGAAATCTAATTGATAGTAACATTTTTTTATAAATAAACTCTCCTTTGAAGAGGTTTAAAACTATCGAACAACTAATTACTTACTCATTCTAGTAATCAAGTTTGTTTGCAATAGTTCTCGAATAGAACACCCAGGTTGTGTCGGGTATCCTCCATTTGGGAAAAAATCAGCATGTCCCAACGGCACAGGGAAACCAAACACTCCAGCATCTGTATGTATAACATCCACGAATTCAGCATCAGTCGGCGCCAGATGGCCTTTCTTCCCCGAAAACATGTACAAAGGAAATGCAGGGTCAAGACCTGTAAACATAACCCAAACCATTTTTATAAATAACATAAAAAAATTATAAATTATTATAATATTCGCATAATTATCGTATGTTACGCAATACAGACGTATTATATGTAGTTAAATCATACGATGTAACTATGCATACATACATATTAAACCGCCATATTATTATGTATAATCATTATTAGAACTTTATCCAGACGCGACCTTTTCCTACAACCAACACAAATTTGTCCCCATACCGACCACCACACCTTCTTCAAACTATATCATTACCTTCGTAGAGTGTTTCCTTAACCTATTTCGGGGTAACCGAGGAAGGAAAACAAAGCAAAATAAAGATAAAGGGCAAAACTTTTATGTAGAGCTTTTAACTTAAAAATACGAATATTTCAAAGGCCTGGATATTAATGTACATTAGTACATTTATAATANTCGTACGAATATTTCAAAGGCCTGGATATTAATGTACATTAGTACATTTATAATAATCTACTCAAATATCGTTTAGTATAGAATTTGGCATATGCGTCGAAAACAACTGTATCTTATTGAGGTAAATTCGAAGAATTGTTGTATGTAGGCTGTTATTTATTCTTCTCAATGTATCTTAAAATTAAAATCTAATGACATTGGAATATGAAATTATTTGATTATTTTTAGATCTGTAGAATTTCCCCAACTTATAGTATAGCGGTCGTAAATATACATTTCACAACATTTGGATCTATTTTGAACTGAATACATTTATATGTAGCTCATATATTTTTTACATTATGATATATATTTATAAATACGTTGAGTATAAATACACGTATAATGAATAGCTTTTTTTCGTATAAATGATGTAAAGTGGAACGTGCTTAAACTGTCCAAAAAGCTTTGTAGTGTTTTTAAAAGTTTTCATATTTATTCAAAATGTGTACGTTTAAAAAACGTTTAATATCGTACTAAAAAATCACACACTGATTTGTTTTACACTTTGGTATAATAACCAATAAAATTAAATAAACCCTAATAAATACAAAAAAGTAATTTTAGAATTCTCTTCTATAATAATTATTTTCATATTGCTATAAAACTTTCATGGTGAACGGTATCTTTTTATTACCACAAAAATCTAAAAACCAACAAATGACTATTGTTAACAAATTAATTTTTTTTATTGTCAATTTCTATTTGTAAAAATAAAAATGTAAAAGAAAACTATTTATATATCAAATTTTATAACGCTCTGTAAATGACGCTACCATTATTATAAATTACCTTACTCAGTATAAAAAACATTGTTCGTTTACAATAAACCAATTTTATACAATACTACCGGTATTGCTATATATAATATGCTACGAATATAGCAACGCAGTAACCAATCAGCTGATTTAAACTCTAAAGACGAACTATATTGAATATTATGATACCAATAGTTAGAAGACATCTGAATACAGCACAGCAGTGCAGTTAAAAAATGTGTATATAATAGTATGAATTATAATGACTGCTTGGCGTCAGTGATTTTCAAGGATTTAATTTATTTTACATCAGCTTTATGCTGTCACAATGCAATCAAGTTTGAAGTTTACTCGTCTAAAATTAACTGTAACTAAACAAATATTTCCAACAATTGTTGTTTGTTTAATTTAGAAATATTTCATTGTGACCTGTAATTCTTGGAAGCTTTCCGATTCTTAAATTTTTTCCAGTGAATCCAGCAATTTCGGCACCTAAACTGAAACCAATGAGATGTATTTTAGATAGTCGAAATCCTTTGGACACCAAATATTCAATAAAATGAGCGAGATATTGGCCGACTACCCTAGTGTTGAGCACTGCATGACTGTACCAAGGAAACGCACATAACGGACTCCAATCCACAACTATAAGATTTACTCCTCCTCGATATAAATATGCTATAAAATAATGTAATTTTTTGTGTTTGTTAAAAATAAAGTTTGAAAAGAAAATCTGATTGTCTTTGATGCATGTCACAAATGATTTACCTTTTTTTATTGTTGTCGCAGCCTTTGAGTTGGCTTGCTCTGTAAATCCGTGTACGTATATTACAGTAGTTAAATTACTATTCATATGAGTCTTTCGAAGTGATTCATCATTTCCTAGGAATATTCTATTTGGAAATTTTGGATTGTGCCTTAACATGAATAATGGTTATTTTTGTAAATTTATAATGAAATTAAACGATTTATATCACAAATAAATTATTATAAAATCATTAATATGATAAAATTAAAATATATGGATGTATGATAAAATGATCTAAAATTATTTGGAAATAAAAAAACGCACCTTGAGAAAGAAAAAAACGCTATGTCTTCTCTTAGGTTAATAGGACAACAACCTTCGCAGTTTCCTTTGGGTGTTATGGTGGCAGAAAATGGGTTTCTACCTGAATTTTTTAGAAATACATTCACGTTTATACACGTTAATATGGAACACTTATAATAAATTAACCAAAATAAACTAATGTTAATAGATTTTAAATTCTTTCTTACCCATAAACATTGTGAACGTGATGCACGCTAGGGCTGCCATGATGTTTAATTAGCATCACAAGACATCTGTAAACTACAGTTTTTGGCCATTAATTAATCTTATCACACGAACACTGTGAAAACACAAATCGAGACATTACAAAGAACATGACGTTACACCTGAAATCGAATAAGTGTCGTTCGAATGGACAACATTACTAAACGACTCGTTACTAGAATAGGGTTTTGCGAATGTTTATTTTTTGGACTTCCCCTCCCCATCGTATAAATGTGTCCAAGGCTGATAAAAAATTTTTCTAAGTACATATTACACTGTTTTTTAACAACAATAGCGAATCATTTTAAATAGAATTGTACGTCTATGATATACTACAAATTGATTTCGTAACTTTTTGCAAAGCGTAATACAATAAAAAAAAATTATAAATATTTTTAAGTAGTTGAATTAGTATTACTTTTATATTATCCTAATGTTTTCTTCTTTGAATAATTGATTTATTAAATTATGTCTACTGATGTAGCATAAACAGCATTTATAAAATAAACGTAAATTAATTGAAATATTGTCATTTTCAATGTCAATATTACACTTTTTTAAATTACTTTTGTATAGGGTTAATTTTTAAATATGTCATTTAAATAAAAATATATTCTATATATAAAATTTGTTTAAAAAAAAATTTCCCATTATGTACAGTTCATTGTTAAAAATAATTAAATTTACTAAATTTTCATGGTTAACATTAAAGTTTAAGTATTTTTTAGCATAACGTTTTTCGTTATAATTTTTACATTAGTTTTTATGTTTAATTCGCAGTAGTTCATAGATATATTTTATTTTGGTGGTCCATATTTATTTATTTTCGATTAATTAAAGATAACAATTAGAACTTTATATACGCTCTTCCGAACATTGTTTCATTACTTGCCGTATACGTATATTTTTTTTTAATGTCAATAAGATTACTAGTAAAATAATTAACTTTTACTACTTAAATTAAATATATTTACATTTAATATTATAAATGCATTTAATTTTTCATAAACTACTGTTAAAAATGAAATAGTAATGTGTCATTTGAAAAAATATAGAAAGGCCAAATAAAAAAAAATGTGATATTCCCATTATCATAAAACCAGAAAAATGAGAGATTCACAGTCAGTAGGGATTTACCAGTAAATGGAGTAGATAAAATATTTATTATTTTAGCCGCCCACCCTAAAAATATTTTTTCCAAAAAGGTTTCTTTTTTTTTATTTAACACTTTACACGTCAAAAAACAAATGATTTAGCCTACCAATTACTTATTTTATCATACATTATATAGAAACTAAAAATAAAATTTATCTCTGATTATATGATTAAATTGTTGAACATTCGTTGCGGTAATAGTGTTTTAATCGCTATAATTTTTTTTTCATTATGCTCTTTCAATTTATTTTAGTGTTAACAATTGATTAACCGCTATGCGATATTAACCTTGTTGTTCGTTACAGCGTTTATGTACTATATTTGATTTAAGTTTTCCAATAATTTTATTACGCCCTTGATCACATGTGTACATATCATACAAGTCGTTACACTGTGTATTTTAATAGAATTTTATCTTGCTGGGAAACTTAACAAGTTGACATATAGTATACGTAGCTTAAAATCTTTTTGATTAAACTTTACGGTTGGCAACCGATCAATGATACCAATATTTTAGTAGAAAATAATTAAAAGTTTATCTCACTAACTGACAGCTCAAAAATTGTTATTCAAAGTACACGTATTTTATGTCTCTTCAAGTATATTTGTATACACAAATTCACGTATGAATGATGATGAACTATAACGGCATGCGGTAAATAAACAAAATCAAGTTTAACGACACATTGAAATGATAAAAACAAAATGAAATTTTTCCTTGTTTATTGTTTTGATAGTTACTTTTCGTTATGGAAATAGAACGACCACAATCCTACAGCCAGTTTTCTAGTAGCGTCTTTCGAGTTGATTTAGTAGGATTAATTATAACTATTTTTTTAATATCTTTCATTAGAGGTAGACAAAAGTACCTTCTATCAAACACGTGCATACAAATGATAACGTTTTTCAGTGCCTAAACAGTATTTTAATTAATACTATTTCATTATTGTTTTCATGGTAAACAATAACGCTTCCGAATCGCAGTATCAATTCATTAATTTGTTACGGTCACCACCATTGGTTTCGAAATTAAAATATTTGTTTTTAGCATAAGAAAGATATTTTATATATGACTAAGCATCGTTCAGCTGAGGCACATGCAAATGTGTGGCGCTCATACGTTTTTTTAAAACTGACGCTTAAAAAAATTTTTGTGTCAAAATCGCCCAAGTTTATATTTTTGTCCAAAAAAGACTTAAACTATGTGTACATTTTCTGAGGACCGTTAAAGCAATTGAATCAATTTCAATTTCTTGAAACTCATAAGTTTTAACTATATTTAGAATTGATTTTAAATTTTCGTGGTATCAATTGCATTTATAGCTTAGACCCTTAATTTACAGAACATAATTCAAACTTTATTAAAAAGTAACCTAAGTTTTTTTTGAGGATTGATTATTCCAAGCAATTAAAAGGGTTCAGTTTTCCGTCTATTGAACAACACCAGCCACGCTTAACTTAGCCTAAATAGGTTTCGATTTGTATTTTTTTTTTAATTTACTTATTAAGAGCATTATTAATACGGTTACTCTATTAAACTAAACTTAATTTACTACGATTTCATTTAAGCAATAGATTTAATCAAGTGTTTTTTTATTTATTAGGATAATTTATTAAACAAACTAGAAGAGAAGAAACAAGATGAAGCAAAAACGCCAGAAGAAGAAGTAAGTATTTAAAAAAAAACATTTATTATTCAAGTTATATCTCAAGCTTTGAGAATTTTATTGACCTTAATTTTTTCAAAATTTATTGAGATGTATAAATATTATTGATACTTTTTAATTTGTTTATAAGACTTAGTCAAAAATACATATGAAATTTATTTCAGTCGATTATACTTTTTGTATAAGTGTATAATTTATACAATTGTATATTTTAATTTGAAGACGCTAGTAGCATTGAATTGCATTAAATAAAGATTTGTTTTTATTCATTTAAATTAATCTTATTATCTAATTAAGGTAGCCTTATCTTTTCTATACCAAACAAGTTATTTATTAAATCACAAAATCCTTTTAGTCCAAACTGACCGTTGTTATAATCTACTTAAATGTATAAGTATGTTAGTGGAATTTATCAATATTGTAAATTTTGGAGACAAAAGAGATTTTACAAGTAAGCGAATTTCAAAGATAATTTGTTTTAATTGATTTAAAAACAAATACAAGCTGGTATAATAAGTCAGTTTTGAATTTTACTTCTAATGGTTCAATTAATAAAAGATAAATTATAATTAAATCTATAAATATGGTTTGAATGGTATGTGAATACATTTACAAATAAACAAAAAATAAAAATAAAACTTGTTTACATAACATGCTACACATGATTTTTTTTTAACATGAATTATATTACATGAATAATATAATATTATATTATATTAATAATGTAATATTTAATGTTTTTCGATATTTAGTGCGTAATATATAAGTTTATGAGGTATATAACCCCCTATTTTATTGTTAAATAATGATTTTTTTTATATTTATGTGTATATAAATATTTATTTTACTATTATGGATTTATTTTTGTAAGAAAAAGTTATTCCCTAGGATATGTTTTAGGGGTAACTTTTGAAGGTTAAATTACATCCTATTATTATTTTTTGCTGTTGATGAAGAACTGCCTGAATAAAATGTTGACAGTCGATAATCAGAATTGTATTATTATTATTTTTTATTGTAAATAAGCGTAACGGAAAAAAGTTCTTATTTGTATAACGCATAGATAAGAATATTTCTGAAAATAAAAATTTTAAAAATTGAACAAAATTGACACGGTAAAAATTGACTGTAGTCAAACACTATTCCTCCTCATCTTGTCTAATTTTTCAAATATTAATATCTTAAAAAGTAATTATACAATACTAGTTATCGACCAGTTAACAACTTATTTAGAAAATACTTTATTAAATAGTAAAAATAATAATATATTCTCATATAACTTTCGAAAATTACCCCTAAAATCTACCTTTAGAAATAATTTTTCTTACAACATAAATGATATTTACAATGGTTTATAACCTATATCTGATTTCACAACTATCGTTACATTATAAGAAAAAATAATAAGAGAGTTTTAATAGTCTGAAATTTATACGATTATTTTGGACCGTTATTAAAAAAAAAAATAATAATAAAATTGAATTCATATACAATTGATACATGCTTGAATATTTATTTTGACTCTCATTTCATTGAAAATTATGAAAGACATTTTATCTAATTTATCTAATTAATTATTACAACTTTTTATCTCAGGTATATTGTGTATATGATAATTTTATCCTTCTTTTATCAATGAATGATAAGTAATCAATAGTAAAATTAAATAAGATCTAATATATTTTTCAAGCTAATAATATACTTTTTATCTTTGCTATACATCAAATGATCAAGACAAGACTTTCTTGAAAAGTAGAGTCTCTTTAATTTGATACACCGCTTGTGGTCGATTCCCTTCCCATTTTTAAATTACTTTTACTGCTGGAATGGCAACTGGCCAGTGCTAAGACACGTTTATTGATTAAATTGTAAAACCAACACTTTGACATTTTACGAATGTATCATTTGCAATGAGTTGCGTACTTTCCAGTTCACACATAAATAAATCATATTTATAAAAAATACATTACTCTTCACAGTTTAGTGTTTAGTTAATAAGTAATCTGAAATCCATTTTATTTAGTTAAATTACATGGCATAAATATTTGGCAAATGTAAAAGCATTTTGAGAATAAGTCCTCAACGAATACGTTTAGTATAATAAACCAATGTATAAAGTACTCAAATAGAGAACATATAAGTACAGCGTGGTACCATTTTTTATGATCTGGCTATTGTTAAAAGAGCGCGTATTAGAAAAATGCCACATCAGTAATGGTATAAAATTATGACGATATGTATTATCGACAATATTATTAGATTCATATTTCATTTATAAAGAAATATGTAAATATATATTCTATTTTCGTTTACTACCCATACTAGTATAGGCGTAACTAGAATATAATTACTCCCTCCCTAATTTCTTTTTATATAATAAAGATATATAATTTTATAAATTTTGGGGCAAAACTAATTCTTTATCTAAATCTATTCTAGTTCTTTTAGTTGTTTTTATACACACTAGGAATATTATTCGGCAAATACTAAAAATTATGCCTAATATATAAAAAAAAAGGTAATAAATAAAACACCTTAGGGAGAACAAGTGATCGCCAATATCCAAAGTTGTATCATGAACGAAAATAATAATTCGATTTGAGTTATAATTAAAAATAAAATGATGTTAAACTGTAAACTCAAATTAATAAATTTATTGTAACAATACTCTCGGTCGTGTAGTTAAGGATAGGAAATTTTATACACTGGCCTTATTTTCTAGTGTTTATTTGATTTACATACATATTGTAATATTCACTATTACTATCAATTATTTATTATAGATTAAGTGCAGTTCATTTATATAAATTATATACAGTTCACACTAATGAATCAACGTTTAATTAAAAATTAACAATCTATTCACGAAAAACTTTCTTCGTAAATATTTTAAAACTGAAATGGCGTCAGTAAATATCATTAAGTTCTTTTTCAATCACAATTATTTATTATATTATAAAAAAAAATAATCATCGGAACCACGCGAATTTTTTATTTTAGACTTACGTTTATGCAATTTAATATACACGCACGCAATATAAGATGTCTATCATAAAACATTATTTTAATTTACTCTGTATTATAAAAACATATGAAATTATCTATAAAATTTATAGATAATTTCATAAGTTTTTATAATATTTAAATATAAATATATATATAACGAGATACTTATTAGTATTTTACGTCTAATTAAAACAAAACATATCGAGTTATTCAAATTATTTTGAATTTCTGGGAAATCTGTATTAATTAAGATTAATTTTAAGGTAACGTACTTAAGTTATACAAATTACATGATCAATTTAACTAGATATACAAATTTAGGATCTATGATATAATATAATAAATATAATCACTGGGTATATATATATATATATACATATACCGGATGATTCTATTATCATGAAATAACTAAAAAGTAAAAATAATTTTGATAATTTTTTTTATTGATGTATCTTAGACCTATGTTTTTTCCGTGTAATTTTATAAATGCACATTTATACATGTCTTTGTTAAATAACCTTTGCTGAAAATTTAATTCATTGGTACCAAGTACTACATTATACACAGCTTATAAACCTAAAAAGACATAAGTAATTACTATAACTTAGCTAACTAATGTCAAGGTAATAGGTATTATTAAGGGTGTTGACACGAAATACATCTATCGTTTAATATTAAAATATAATAGCATTTTGGCGAATACTTTTTGTAAGTGTGGCAGGTGTAATAAATAAAATGTTTCAATGTGAACTAATAAACAATCTGATGAAGCAAATAAAATGCGAGACAATGACACGCCATTCCGGTATTGTGTGAATGTCGTTGTATATATTTGTTATTCTAAGAAAATAATCATTTAGAGGAAATACTTTGAATAATGGTTTTAAATCGACATTTAAATTAATTAGCTAAATTAACTATTTATTATAGTTTGTCACACTTAAATATGTGTATAAAATGAATGAAGAACAAAGACATCTGAAAATATTGGGGTAACTTTAGTATAAAAATGATCACATTTATGCTTGTCTCTTATAATAACTTAAGCTTAGTTAATGTTCTTCGAATACACTACTGAATTCTCGAAACTTAAAAAAAAAAATGATATTTCCATGGGAGTCTGTTATTGATCATAACTTGTGCTTTTTTACAGTGTGTGATATGTGTCAATTCAAAAGCGACAATGCAGACTTGGCCTTGTGGTCACCGAGTTGTATGTCGAAAGTGTTTGGTGCGTACCATACAGATAGCAGTTTCACGAAGGGCGTTACCTCTGAGGTGTGTCGTGTGCAGGGCAAGAGTTCTACGGCTCAAGAGGTCGTCGGATCATCAGGCTTATCTGAGACATGATAAGGGTCGTTCTCACAGCCTGCCAGTAAAATTACGTAGACGTACTTCAGCGCCGACTTTGGCCGTTCGGTCCCGATCGGTTGGACCGAGTAAATCCGGTAGGCTTCCAGCGACTGTTGATCGACGACCATTTAACTACATTCGCGCCCGAACCGGAATCTGTGTAGATTGGATTGATGAACCGACGTTACCAGCAAAGTACAAGTACGACATACGAATTATGTTATTTATACAGGGTGTTCAATTACTAAGGAAATAAGTCAATTGTTACAAACAATGTGAATAATAGATACTCGTTTTTTCTTACTTATTGAAAACCCTTTATAATAAATAGTAACAACATGAATAAATAGGTTAACGTGCAAAACTTTAATTCTCGCTTTCTATAGAATAAATTATAGCAATCCATTAACAGAGAAATGATAATAAATGTTAAAACAGAGAAATAACACGCACAGAGCTCTTTAACATACAGAAGAGATTAAAATATTTTAATGTAGTTCATTTTAAATAATAAAACCCACCCAATTAATTGTCGGTTGCTTATCACGGTCGTTAAGATCAACACATTTAATAAAAATTTATAGTTTTTGTTTTTTAATATCAATTTCAATTTAAGATTTATATTTTAAATTTACATTATTGTTATTTTTTATAACTCCAAGTTAAACAATAGTTAATTATATATTTCGCTTGATACAATAATTACAGAACCCAAACAAATTTACGATCATAATTCATTTTTAGTTTCATCAAGTTTATCTCATACAGATTTGAAGTAAACAGTTAACACAGCTTACAGTTGTGTACTATTACAAATTTTTAATAAAATTTATCGTCTACGTTAAATCAAATGTAAAAATGATGTTATATTATTTAAAAAATAAATTTAGACGTAAGCTTACAATGAAATTTTTTTAATAATGTACTAAAGTTGACTTTTAAGTGTCATGAAAACACAAAAAGTAAAGTCCTTTTCTGGTTATTATTTGTAGACACGCCTATGCATAGGAATAATGAGTAACTCGTGAGGTCAACAACAGCAATACATTAATATGTGATATAACAGATATTTTAATCTATTTATAAATATGTATGTTTACATTTTAGAAAGATAGAAGACGACATTAGCCACGAACGGATATCCAATGATAAGTCGAAAACCGGTATAAAAAAAGTACTTGGAAAATTCAAATTTTGGAAATTTTTTAGATTCAAAACTATCAACGCGTAAATTTAATTTTAAATACCATTTTATATGAAAGGTTTAGTTTCCATGTATTCATTGACTTATATTTTAGCTTCACAATACTCTAAAAACCAAGCGCGGACATGAAGAAAATTAACCGATAAGAAAATCTATTTGTAGACTAAATAAATATAGGACTACTATATCTTAAAAATTCAGGTCAACAGCTAGGAATTCAAATTTAATTAACAAGTTAATAACTGAATTCAATTCTTTGGATCCTTGTTTCAAATAATCTACATCATAAATCTAATTTTATTGTAAAACTGTAATGGCAATTCTGTTTATGGATTAATTAAAACTTTTCATCAATTTTTCGGTGCGGTCTGCTTTGGTATTAACTTATAGGAAATATATTTCATATTTATATAGAATATTAAAATATATAACATTTAGATAAATTTAGACTTAAGATACGTTGCAGCTATTAAGTAAATAAAAAAAAGATTTAAAATTTTTTTTTTATTGTTTAAGGACCAACTAATTGTCTTAAATTAAATATATAAAAGTAAAATAAAAGTACATTAAATATCAATATAATATAATAATAATAATAAAATAATTGATGATAAATTAGTAAAACGTTTTAGTATAATAAAAATTTTCAGTCCAAGTTTCCTGAAAAGAAAAAACGGTATTAGCTCATAAGTATTAATTATAAATTACAAAATAAAATAAATATATTAAAATATCTTTACGACTGAATTACTTCCAGAACAGTTAAAGGCTGATACATTTAAAGCATCGATATTACAAACAATTTTAAATATAGTTATGATAATTTTATTTTCATTTTGAATTCATCAACGTGTGTTATAAAACTTTTCCATATTGTGTAACAATGTTAGTAGATGTGTAGTATAAGCATGTAATGAAATTACCTATAAGTATTTTTTCTTTTTTAATTATTATTCATATTAAGGCCATTATATGGCATCTAGTCAACTTAAACATTTCTTCTGTGATTTATATTATACGTGTATATGTAGAGTATGTATATTGTAAATAAATATATGAACTATAGTGATGTTACGAACCCTAACTTTTTGAATCGAACAATCTAAATATCTAATTGAACTTCAAATTTAATAATCATATGTAGTTAAACCATTTTTTATATAATTATTCAACAAATTCATCGTGATATTTGATTATACTAGTTCGGTTTTCCAATCGATTTACAAGTAATCGGTTTTAAGTATAAATTCGATTTTCGAACTGCATAGAACAGCCCTAGTTCAGTTCGACTCGGTTTGAAAATCGAATGGTTCGAACATCACTAATGAATTAGTATGACGAATTAAGTTTGATGTTCCTTTTAATAATTGACCAATTTTTATACAAACTTTTAAGGTATATTTGTTCGAAATAACTTTAGAATATATTGTAATTAGTGTCTAGTAAATGAATAAAAAAGTAACGTTATAAAATAACATAAATGGTTTTTTATTTAATTGCGATTTAATTAAACATTTTCATTGCAGGAATAATAGAAATACCATTTATACCATTGCACAGAATCGCATACAAACAAGATACTATGAGTAACGTGGATACACAAATGACGACATAACTATTTATTCATAGCCCCACTAACCAGTTTTATTTAGTTAAAAATAATTATTTCATGTAATTATGACATTAAAATTGTGGTTTTATGGAATATTATTTTTGATACATTTAAAACACAAAACACACACGCATAAAAATAACACAAAATTATAGAACATAATTACCTCGGCTATTAAGAAACCACATAGATATACAACAATGATTCTCCGTGTAATCTATACTAGGAACTACAAGTGTGTTAAACAAAATAATTCAATGTTCTGCTCCACACACGACTGCTTTAATGACAGATGTCGAATTATTGTTTTCCAGACTGTTTTCGGTGCCAGAAGCCGATTTTTCCATCGCCTTGCTGACCTATATATTAAAATAATTTCCCAAACATCCACTTAAATGGCTCTTAACATACACATCTACCAAGAAGTTCTCTATTTTATGTCTTAAACACACGTTAATAGTAGTTCATTGTAAAAAAGATAATCTAGAAGTAAAGACGGCCAAATTTAAGAAGAGACTTCTTTCATATTGCTACGTTTGATAAGATTTATTTTGTATCACCGAATAGACAAGTTGAATTTTTTAATTATAATTATTAACCAAATATCAAATTTGTGATGTATCCTATCAAGTCAATCATAATATTTAATATACGAAATGAACTATTTGCATTGTAAAACTGTAAAAGCGTATCACCTCTGCGGCCAGGTCTGCATGACTCGTATCGCCTCCAATAGTTCGTTCGGTCTATCGAAGAACAATCTTCCCGTCCATTAAAATGCGTTCTGGCGTAGTCGTCACAATCAGTCACACCGTCTTGGTTACAGTCCTATAGATAAAACCATAATTAATTCATTTCTAGTAGAATTGAAATTGTTGTAATTTGTTAAGTACACTAATATTCATGTTTTGAAAAATGTTTTCAGAATCAATACATTTACAAAAACAATCGAATATATCGTATTTCACCATAAAATTCTCCACTTATATATCATCAATTAACTATAATCGAAAGAAAATAATTTTTAGAACTTCAAACCTATTATTGTTGTTATTATAATACATAATGATAAATAATGGATCTTTATTTTTTAAAAACAAAAGTATTATATGACATTACACCAAAAACTTTTATGTAAAACATATAATTAAAATTTAATAGTAACATGAATCCTAAAAAACCAATAATAATTATTGATAAAAAAGCAAATGATTCATTATTTGTGACTCATAGTTTATCACAGAAGTTGGGTAAAATTTAACGTCATGTATTTTGTAAGCTTTCCTCTTATTTTTTTTAGTAATAATAATTTGTTCTAAGGAATTTTATGCTATGATTCATTATAGTAAAAACATTAAATAAATATCAATATTTTACACGTAAAATAAAAGTTATTAATTATAATTATCTTGAGCTATTTTTAAAAAAAATAACGTTCAAGCCATCTATACAACGGGTAAAAATATCTAAGAGTATTAGGAATAAAAGTTTGCTAAAGATAGTTGTGGTAGCATGTGAAATACTTACCTTCTCAATTAATTTAAATAAAATAATTACTAAACATTATTAAAAATAAATTTTTAGGTATTAATTAATAGTCGACTTAATTCAAATTGATAAGAAAATTTTAGTTTTTACAAAATAGTCATCAGATGTAAAATAATACATTATTTTTACTGCACATACTAGCTATGCAATTAATAAAGTTATAAACAAGTTTATTATTTTAAAAATGCGTTCATATCAACTTTGAGCAAATATCAATGGAATTTGTTAAAAATTAATCTCCACGTTTAGTCATTTTAACTGTTCATCGATCATTTATGTTAATAGCGTTATTATATTTATACTCATTTTTTTCCAAGAATCAGTCGACTTAATAGTTGTTTTGTAAAATGATATGGTAATTTTTTAAGTATAGTTTAATATGCGTATAATTTATTATTCTAAGACCTAGCTTCTAGTTTTTTTTTATTAAATATTTATTCTATATCATTACACCATTTGACATTATACAGTGTGATTCTTTTATAATGAATTACTTAATTAATCGAAAAGTAAAACAACATTGGACATTTTTTTAATTGGTTTGTTTTAGTTCTATGTTTAATTCATCAATTATGAAATATTTATTTTGCTCATCCATTATACTTTATGTGTGTATCAGTTTTAGTTTTTTTAATGGCAACATACATAATTGACTAGCTTATTCATTAGATAATGATTTAATTAAGAAATTGATGGTCGACAACAAATTCTGGACTGAAGTTATTAAAATTTGTATACATAAGTGGGAAGAGGAATGAGGCCACATTAGACAATGTCTAGTGATAAAAATAGCAGTTCTCGCGCTTTACCTACAATCATTCCTTAAATTGTCAATAACTTCTGAAATATTACTCCAAAAGTTGTTATTGACCAGTCAATTTTTTAATTAGCTTTTTAAATAGCTAACAACTAGGCTAGTTAATTGTGTATGTTGTCATTTGAAAAAATAAAGATGACACCCTTATAAGGTCAGAGATATGANGTATAGCTAACAACTAGGCTAGTTAATTGTGTATGTTGTCATTTGAAAAAATAAAGATGACACCCTTATAAGGTCAGAGATATGATCATAAAAAATACTTCACGATTAATAACTTAAGAAAAATAGGAAACTAAAAGAAACCCGTAAAAAAAATAATATAATTAATCGAATTATATTGTTTTGCGGTAAAATATCCACTCTGTATAACTTTCACTCTTATAATTAACAGTTATAATTCTGCGATTTTAAATCACAAAACCAGTTTTAATAGTATTTATAATAACCTTACTGGATTATTGCGTATGACGTGTATTATAATGTAAACACATATACCTATACAAAGAGTAAAGCAAAAGCACTTCACAAACAAAACATTCGATAGCCATTATACTGGACTTTCAAAGCGCTTTAATTTATGCCTACTTGCAAGTTTTTTTTATTGTATACACGACTTGGTAGAACAGATACTGTGGGAAAATTAACAATAGCAATAAAAAAAGGTCTTGAAACTTTATCCGTGCCGAAGACTACTTACTCTGCCCCATTTGGCCAAGTAGCTCTCCATCGTTCTTTGGGCACACGTCATGTCCGACACACAGTCTATGAACGCCATGTCTCTATCCGGGTCGTCGTCTTGCAACACTATGAATCCCGCATCCTTCCAGTAATCCCGAGGTATGAAATACGGACCGCAAAACCCTCGGGAACATCCGAACGTCGCGTTGCACAAAGTCGAAGCATGACACAGACACCGCAAACACGTGGAATCCAAGTTTGATACGAATTTGTCTGAGGGCAAAATGAAAAAAATCAATTAACATCATAATCAGACCGACAATTGCGGCGTCATGATCTTACCACCAGTGGTGGTCGTGGTCATCCACGCCGTGATCAGCAACAATGCGGTGCACGTGAGAAAACACTGTCTACACAGGTCGCGCGACATGGCGGTACTACGGCCGCTCAGAGTGTGTGATAGGTACTTGTTACATTATGTGGTTTGCCTGCTACTTCTACTGCAAACCGTATTAACAAAATGATGTTATCTCTGGACGACCAACGTCCATAGAGTTATTATCTGGCAGTGATAACTTTTGCACGAATGCGCAGCGAACGTTTGCCTTAGTATATCCATGATTTCCAAATGTGGACACTTGTTTTTGATGGAACGAGCATAAAATACACTTCACCTGGATCAGTGTAATCAAACGAACAATAGCCACCGTCACCTCTGTAGCTGTTTGATGGATCTGGAGAGGGCAAATTCTTATTGCGTGGAGAGGGTAATAGAGATTTAGGTTCAACGGTGGAAATGTAATCCGGTCGGTTCGATAACGGCCAAGGCTATTTGCCAACGAAAATAATAATATAATAATAGCTACAGTAGTGGACGTAATAAAAATATTAAAACATTACTATCGTCGAAGTTAGGTAGCTCATAAAAAAATAATTATCGCGCTGGCCGTGACAATGAAAAATTCTACAGCGAATGTTAACAATATTCATTACCTCGATTACAATAATTATTATTGTACACAATAAAACATATAGCCGTTTTGCTTGTTGTTATGAACGGTAGTCGGCAAAATTTCCGGACGTATGACAAGTAGGGGAAAGCCCAGAAACATAACAATTTGCTTTACTCTGTTAATTGAGGTCATAGGTCGTTTGTAGGCTACTTCTCGATGTTCTTTATTATTAGCGGTATAAGCCTTAAATTCCAAACTCCAATTACTGCAAAATAATTAGTTACACATAAATACATAGAATATGAACGATTCGGTATTCGAAAACTGCTCACAGAAACATCATCATTAATTACTACAATAATGGTCACAGATAACTATGTTTATTGATTTTTGGCTATGAATAAAGCTATTACTTTACAATGCGGATTTAGTTAGTTGCTTTAGGTATTATTGGTCGCATTACTAATGACATTTATATGTTTTTTTTAGTTGAAACAGAACAAAACACACAAAAAAACAAATAATGATTACCTGGTTGAAAAATTTACATTTTTTTTGGTCAACTATAACTTTGTTTTAATGCTTGCGTTTATATATGTTTTAGGTAAAAGTAGAGGTGCAATATAATAATTATAGAATTAATGCGTTGTTAAAATGTTCAAGCAAATTTAAACCTGATTGAAGAAATGTTGAGAAAATTGAACGTAAATACAATTATTTTGTTATATTTTATGCAGTGTTTTCACAATATTTACAATTATAATCTTTTAAAATATCAAACATGAAAAAAACACGTCATCTAAAATTGAATAAAATAAAATAATTAATTTGTTAGTTATTATAGTTATTTTTTTATAAAATAAACATAAATTATTCAATAAATCATAGTGATGTTGTATTTACATAAAAAAAATTCTTATTTAAATTTTTGAGGATTGAGCTAAAATAATTTGTCCTCTATATATGTGTACTATGTAATGACTTATTAACGTCTTTAAATATTGCGTGTCGGCTATTTGTGGTAATAACTTTGATTTTTTCTGTGACAAAGGATATAAAGAAGACAAATCACTATAGTGAGATAAATAACCTGTATATTATAAAAGAAATTGTATTTTCGTCAATTAATTATTCTCGTTTGGTAGGGTGACCCCTCATACCAATAAATTATGCCCCTGCTGGCTACCAAGTATATTTATCAACCTTTTATAACATTATTATGACACAATTAGGAATAACCATTATTATAAGAATTAAGAGATATGTTCCATCACTATTTAAAAATGTCGTTTGTGTGACCAAAGGCGTAAAGTAATTAATATAATGTTAATAAAATACATCTAGCCGATAAAGGGTAATATATCATCCACTATAGCGATGTCTATGTTCGACAGACGTTTAGTGGAGGTTATTCTCTGAGGCTATTTTAAAGTTATATAGGCTAATTTTTATGTTAATTATTGTTATTCTTCCACAAATAACGTGCAAGTTTAGAGCGTGTTTGACTTATAAAAATAAAATGTTTTCTAAAAATTCAATTTACTTTCAATTGATGGCTTTTATTTTTGCAGTTACTGTTCCTTCTAGATTGGTCGCAGATATCAGTAAGTGAAATTTAAATGTTAAACAATTTTTTATAATAATATACACTAAGAAAATACGATTTCTTAGACAAAATTATGTTTCAATTAAGTATGCAAGTTTTAATGAATTCATTAATTTATTTTTATATCGAATAATAAATTTCATAATAGTCATTCCAAAAAATGTTTTCAAAAAATATAAACGTTGCAACATTGTTTTTTTTTATGCTTCATTTTTTGTTTAGCAGGTCAGTTTTCGGATTATGATCGATTGCAAGCGGAACAGATGAAATTGCAAGAAGAAATTCAAGAAAAATTATATAAACAACAACTGATACAACAACAAATACTTTTATTACAGTATCAAAATAAAATACCCCTATCACAATATGATTTTCAGTCAACGCCACAAATTCAGCTTCAACCAGTTCAACCAGATATTCCAACACAACAACCGCCACAGCAAGTAGACGAAAGTATAGCACAATCAAAAATAGGAAACGATGTATCTTTTAAGAATATATCGATAACAGAGGATTGCTTATCGTGTATTTGCGAAGTTATGTCAAAATGTGACCACAACTTGACATGTGAGGGAGAAGTATGTGGCCCATTCCAGATTACATGGGCATATTGGATCGATGCCGGAAAAATAGTTCAAAAAGGGGATAATCCGAACGATAGTCAAGGTAAAATTGCTTACAAAATACTTACATACGAAAGTAAAACATAATGCAAATATAATAAGTAATGATCGAATATATTTCAGTAAATATATTCGAGTTGTAGGATCTTATAATTATTGCGTATGAAATTTTTATTGTCCAATTAATGATATAAGTTGGTACAATATAACTAAACAGGGTGATTTACTTATCACGAATTACGGGTCCATCAAAGCAAACGCATGTTTTTCAAAATGATGCTACGTCAAAGGTAATTGCAGTAAAAAGAAAATTATGCAAAAACATATGCAATTTTTTTAACATAACAAAATCCATGTCCTGAAAATAATTTCAGTCATATAGCATCCTTGAATACAGGAATCCAGGCGTTCGCGAAATGAACCCATCGCGTCAGAGCATCTGCCCCGGAATTTCTATCACCACTGGTTTAATCTCGGCCTTGAATTCATCAAGGGTTCATGGCTTATGTTGATTAACTTTTTATTTTAAGTGAACCCACAGAAGAATCTCATATTGTTAGGTCAAGGGAGCTACAGAACCACGGAATGTCCGTTTTCGAAGTACCGCCGTATTATGAACAATCGTTGTTGCACACTTCAAACCACGTTTACTAAAACTGCACCTTATCATTTTTTTAATGAGCCGTCTTCCACATAGATCGGACTTTTTCACTTTAAGTATTTATGGTTTTAAAAACATGTATGGCTCTGACGACCCTGTATTAAACATGATATCGAATAACTTCTGGAGTACTGGTCCGAAATTTGTTATCGATGTAATATTTTCTTAAATAGATAATTTTTTATAATTTTATAGGCTAGTTAAATGTGTATTTTGATATTTAAAAAAATAAGTTCACGCCAAGTAAGGTATAAGAGATAAATTAATAAAGTAATTAACAACTGATACATTATGAATATATGAAATTAAAAACACCATAAATAATTTTCCTAATAGAAATCGTAAAACATTTTAACAAAGAGCGTTAAAAGAAATATGTATAAGTTTTAAAATTTCACAAAAATGTTATAAAATATTTTGTTTTAATGAAAAATATTATTAACTATTTGATATATAAAGTTTAAATACAATTAATGAATACGTAGCGCGTGCATCAACACCAGTACAAGTTGTACTCACCTGTGCAACATATCCACTTTATTAAAATGCATAAAACTTAATAAATAAGTATTATTAAGTTATTATCAAATTATCAATAAATTTCGTAAGAAAAAGGTATAAAAATGACAACCGTCAAATGGCCTTTTAGAGAGGTCATATGTTGTCCTCTCAAAAAATTTGTTCAAATCGCACTTATGAATGTTGTGCTGATAGAAGATATAAACACTACTTGACACAATCACTCAAAATCGTGGTTATTATGTTTTAAACACTCAAATTTTCAAAAATAACATTGGTCTTATATTTATTATTATTTAAACAAGTCTTTTATCAATCCGGTTCAAATATGTGGTTTTGTTGTAAATTAATTTTAGTTTTAAGCTTGTGACTTGTATTCAATATTTTTAATAGAATAAAATAATATAATTTTACGTTAGAATTCTCAAATCATATCAATAAAATTTTTTACCATTATACTTTATACGCTAATAGTAATGTATAATAATAATGATTTTCAATTTTTAGCTTTTGGCAGATGTGCAAATGATATAACGTGTGCTAAAGAAATAGTTATATCTTATACATTAAAATTTGCTCAGGTAGGATCACTTCTTTTCATATTAAACTCGATTATATATTTTTAAAATATTTTGATATTATAAGGATTGTAACAACGACGGCATAATTGATTGCTGGGATTATGCATTAATTCACATGTATGGCGGTTACAACGGTTGTAAAAATCCATTTAGTCAAGACTTTAAAAAAAAATATGACACATGTATCGAACAACACAACAAAAACAATTCTGCCAGTCTATAAAATTCCGGAAGACAATAAATAATATACTTATTCATTTTTTTATCAACTCTATTTCATTGACATAAAATTTAAATACTAAAAAATAAATAACTAAAAATAAGGACCATGTTTAAATATTATAATATTTAATATTTAGATCTAAAAGTATCGCATATAAATATGTATGTCAGATTTCATAAGACAAATTTCTAATGAAATTATAATTTATTTTCGATAATTTTTACTTTTGTAAACATTGCTTATTCTAATAAAATTAATAAAATTAGTATTAATTTTGTTTTTATAGCGCACTTTCTGTTAACACTGGATATTCTGACTAGGGTTATGTTGATACACGTTTAAAATTGTGTATAGCAAGTCACGAATTATGTTTTTTACAAGGTGTGTAACAGATATAAATGTTATGCAGTTGTAAAATATTTTTAACAATTTATTTAGTTATGCGGAAATGAGCTGGATAAAACACACAAGTGTACTTGCTGATTTATTTTTAAATTGTTTCATTATCTATCAAATAAGTAATTTGAAGGTTTTAGATATTTTAGATAATATTATTATTTTTTGTACTTCCATATTACAAGCAATAACATCACGTGTTTTCGACGTGTTGGCTCCAATGAAAAGTTTATTGCATAAATATTTGTTTTATAAAATTTTATATCCAATTACACACAAATTCTAAATAAAGTAATATATAGAATAAATGTTTGTTTACCTAGCTCGAAAAAATATGTACTCATTTTAGTCATAGTAGTCAAGCCAAAAAATATTTGACCTCCGTGCACCTACTGATTGTGATGACTCAACATCTTTACATAATGTTGCCGGCTACTTAGAACATTTGTCAACCATATTAAACGTATGACATTATTTTGACACTATTAGCAATGACCACTGTCATAAGGATATAGAAGACATAAATCGCCTGTGTAGCCAATAGCAGTTAACATAAAATAAAATGTATCGTCACGATAAGTAGAAACATGTAGTCCACTATTACAATGTATATGCTTATGAAAACGTGTTGTGGAGGTTACACTCTAAGGCTACTATAATATTATATGCGCCAATTGGTTTGTAAATTGTCGTTATTCTTCCATAAGCTCTGATCAAGTTAAGTTGAGTGCATCTTTGGTAGAAAAAAATGGTTTCCAAATGTTTGATTTATGTTCAAATATTATTTTTTATTTGTGCAATTATAATACCATCTAATTTGGCCACAGATAACAGTAAGTGAAATTAAATATTTAAACATCCTCCACTGAAGAAAATTAAAATTTTATTTTTTACTTCTTAAAATGAATTATTAATTTGTATTTTTAATTTTGTACAAAATATGTTGTTTAATTTTCAAATAAAAATGATTCTATTCGGCTTATTCAATTTATTTTCGTATAAAAAATGTTTTACACTACACTCTATGAAATTAGATTACTTTTTTGTTCCATTAACACATGATTGATCGTAGGTCAGTTTTCGGAATATGATCGATTGCAAGCGGAACAGATAAAACTGCAAGTAGAAATTCAAGAAAAATTATATAAACAACAGCTGATACAACAACAAATACTTTTGTTACAGCATCAAAATAAGATACCCCTATCACAAAATGATTATCAGCCAACGCCACAAATTCAGTCTCAATCAACTCAACCCCAATTTTTCCAACCCTATGTACAAGTTCAGCAACCAACACCACAAATTCAACCACAATCTAACCAACCCCAACAATTTCCACCTCAATTTGTAGCCCAAGAGAATCAAGTACTTAAAGGTCAACAGGATAATCAGCAAATTCAGGCTCAAGAGTTTCAACAATCGCAACTAGTAGGACTTCATCATCACGGAAATAACGGAACATACAAGATTGTACCAATAACAGAAGTTTGCTTGGCATGTATCTGTGAAGTTATGTCAAAATGTGACCGCAACTTAATGTGTGAGGGAGAAGTATGCGGTGCGTTCCGGATCACGTGGGCGTATTGGGCTGACGCCGGCAAACCGGTTCAATATGGAGATAATCCGAACAATGAACAAGGTAAAATTTCATACATACTTAGTTATATTACAATAATTTAAAATAAGCATACAGGATAAACTAATACAAATTCACACTTGTATAAAATACAACGTCCCACGTAATTGTACTAGTGTACACATTAACTACATAAGGAATAGGCTTAAAACGGTAAGTTTCAAGTCAGTTAGGCTACTAAATTTTAAATAAAATTGTTTATGAATTTTAATTTAAAAATATTCCTCTGTAGTTTTTGTTCTTAATTTTTTGGGTAATTAGAAACTACAAAAAAATTAAAGTTTTTATATATTCTGGCACAATTCAGTGTTTTTAATTACTTTAATGATGTATTCACCGAGGCAGTTTTTATTTTTGATTGTCGATATATTTCGAAGGTTATATTCAAAGGGGCAATGGATAGGCAATCGTACTAAAACTTAAAAATTTTAAAGTGTCACTTCATGTCACTTCTAACCAACGTGCACAGAAAATAAAATCATCAAATCTTAAAAATGACAGAATCAACAAATAACGTTAACAGTATGAGTAAGGATCAAATATGATATAAAGAGGACAAAAACCAAGACACAAGGATTGGAGATTTGACCAAGTATGTCTAAGTCGAGTGTAAACCGAAGCAATAATATTTATGATCATACTCATTATTGAAATTCGATATAATTACTATTATTAAATAGTATTTTAATATGTTTGTGTATGTGTTACAAATGACTATCGAAATACAATTGCTTTTACTTGTTCTAAAAACTTGTAATTATAACTTTTTTAATTTGCATGATTATCATTTATTTGTGTATGTGTCTGCGGTTGGGTTAAGGTCGAAGTACTAGCTTTTCAGTAGGTCCTGATGACTAGTTCTGTAAGTTGGTTAGTCTAAAACAGACTGTTAACGAGATACGAGTCGGTTAAAACAGACTTGTATGTCAAACTCTTTTTGTCACTTTTAAGGCGTGATTTTTTTTAACCATTAGGCGGATTCACGCTAGCCAATTTTTTAAGGTTGAATATTCTGAGAAATTGTTAAGTACAAATAGTGTTTGTCGCCGTTGAAATTGACGTGTGGTAACCAATCCGACTATTTAAAGTGCCAGACGAAATTTAATTACAGATCTTGAAAGCATCTTCAGTGCACTACACTATGCCCTTAAGGTGTCATAATGTGATTAAAAATAAAATTTTCATTTATAAGAAAACGTCAAATATTTTATTGTGTCGATGCTAAAGATTTCCAAGATAATTATGAATTACTTAATTAATTAATTTTTTAATGTAAATGGAACTAGTTACTACAGACTGTATAAGAATTTTGTTATTAAGTTAATTAAATTCCAATATCATTCAGTAAATTCTAACATAAACTATTTTATAGCACTACTAATCTGCATTTAAATTTTTTAGCTTTTGTCAAATGTGCAAATGATTTAGTGTGTGCCAAACAATCAGTCTTAGCTTATACTTCTAGATTTTCTCAGGTAAAATTTTATTTTCATATAATGTTTAATTTGATAAATTTATTATACTTATATTATTTATTTCAGGATTGCAATGGTGACGGCTTAATTGATTGTTGGGATTATGCTTTAATCCACAGGTACGGTGGTTACAGTGGATGCAAGAATCCATTTAGCCAAGAATTTAAAAATAAATTTGACATGTGTCAAAAGTCAATTAGAGAATTATCAGGATCTCAAACTACAAACTTACAACGAGACAACAATCTAAACAATCAGCAACAAAATCCAGCAGCCTTATAAATCACTTCATACTGTGAATAATACTTATTTTATTTATTAACCATCTCTAATTATTATTTTTTATGTTCTGTAATGTATAAATTCTACAATGGGGGTAATAATTAGTAAGCTATAATTATTGTCAATTACATTTTTTTTTTGTATATTTTTGACTATTGATCTTGATAAGAAAAAATTAAATTTTGCATATACTTGTGTATTCATGAAAACAATAATACAGCTAAGGGCTTTCAATTAAATCCTTGATTGGTTTTTGTTACACTAACCAGAAGTATTAATTGTATACGTATAGGAAAAATAATCAAATTCTTTTGTTTATACAGTTCCTCAAACCTTTCATGAAGGACTCGTCCAAATGCAGTCCTAGTATTCGAACAAATAAAGGCATAATAAAATATTATTAAATTTTTGGTATTCTGAATTCACACACATTAATGAAATTTTGAAATATTTACTGTGGTCAATATAAAACAATAAACTCAAAATCAATACGAAAAGAAAACTAATTAGTTAGTGAACACTAAAGGTACTCGTGTAAACAATAAATAATATCACAAAATTAATGAAAAAAATTAAATTTTATAGTAGTTTTAAGTGTTTTACAAATTATCAAGCTGTAATTAAGTAATCGATTTTATGTGTAATACGTAAAAAATTGAAGAAAAGAGAATTTATCAAAATACGTCAATCTGATAAAGTCTATTAACATTTCATACTCTGTTAGATTTAAATTTATTACTAGAAAGGTTTAAACAAAATAAATTAGGTATAATAAATAGGTAGATATCCATATGGAATTTTTACAGGACCGATGAGCAGTAAAATGCAATATGTTTCTTTGGAAACCTCCGCATCCGGTCCGGCGACATCAACGATAAAGCCGTTTCAATACTGGGTGGGGAAATTTTAAGAACGCCTAGGTCGTTTTCATACGACAACTTATACGCTACTGCCAATATAGTTATAGGTATCTACCCTAAATGTTCACAGTCTTCCAGTAGATATTCAACGAAGCAGTTGGATGTCATGGGTGTGCTACTGAGATCCTTGTTGACAGCTGCCGTTTGTAGCACATTGGTGTTATCTCAAAATGATTTGCAAGGTAATTACGACGATTTTAATCATTATGTCATTGTTGTTTTAGTATGCTATTGTAATCACTGTAACGATCTCTGGAAATGTGATACATCCGGTTTATAGTTATTAAAATATCTATTTAAGTGATTAACTATAATCATTTTTTTAATTCATTATTATAAAAATAGAAATATTTCAAGACAATTAAAGAGCAATTGTAAATTCTTAGTTTTTTGAAAGCTACAAAATTTTATTATTTACAATATGATATTGAATTTACTATATGTATATTATAAAATGATACAATTTAAATAGTTAGTATTTAGAACATAATTAATTCACCATCTCATTTAATAATTAAGAATTTGGAAGTAGGAGAAAGAAAATAAAATTTGTTCTCTTTATAACAAGAAACAATATTTAATATTGTTTTTTTTTTTGCTAATTAAAAGTATTGACTTAATTTCATATAGTATAGTTATGTTGTAATATTTTCTGCCTTTATAAAATAAAATTATATAAAAATAATTAATGAAGTATTACAAAAAATGATAACATATTTGAAGGACAGAATGAACCAATTTCTAAAAAAAGGTTGATTTGATAATATTTTTATCATGAGCAAGTAAAATAATATTAATTATTTTCATAGTACATTTTTTCTTGAGTCAAGATCATTTAAATTATATTTAAATATAAATGCTTAAATGATCCACGAAAAAAAATTGAATTACTCTAAATTTTATCGGAAAACTCATTGACCTAGTTCCAAAAATAAGACGTATAATACAAGGTTAGACACTAACACGTTAAAAGAACAATACGTTAACAATTAAGCTAAAAGGTTAAGTTAGTTTAACTTTTTAATTAACTATTTATTTATTTTATTTTATTTGAATACTAACTTTAATAGAGTCTTAACCGACATTTTGTCTAGTAACTTTCACTTTTGGTAGTAACTTCAGATTTTTTTGAAGTTAAGTTAGTATTCAGTAAATAATTAATTAATTATTAATTATTAATTAATAGACTATTATTGTACTGAAATAAAATAGTTTTTATCAGAAAAATTAAAAATAATAAAATGAGCTGATCCCGTTGTCTACATTATTATATTTGTCTACATCTTTAACAGTAATAACAGAACTAAATAGTATTTCAGTGTTTTTTAGTAATACCACAAATTGTTAAAAATAGATATCATTATATGGTTAATAGTTGTAATATATATTCTCTTTCCAAAAAGGAAAAAAAATTATCTTTTATATGGGTAGCAAAAATGTTTTCTAGCTTATTTAAAAAATTACTATTATTTTTTAAGTAACTGGTATTTTAACTGAGTTTTCTTTTAAAATGTTTAACATTTAACTTATAAATTAACTTGAACTCTTTAAAACTAACCTAAGTTCACTATTTGGAATAAAAAATACTAACTTGTTTTCTAGCTAGCTATAAGAACATTTATTTATTTTTTTAATATGAATTATTATTGTATATAATAGATTATACTAATCATAGCATAATTAACTATAACTTGCCTAAAGCTACCGTTATGAGTTCAAATTTCAAGTTTAGACCTCATATATATGACAGGTAGGTATATTTAAATATATGTGCAATAATAGGTTCAATTAATATTTTAATGGTAATTTAAAAAATAATATTATTATTAGTATCCTTCCTTTTTATTTAATATTATTTTAACAAATCTAATTTTAATCTGCAATATTTGTTTTACTGACTACAACGTATTATTTATGAAGTGCTCATTAAAAAAATTTTACTATGATTTTGGAAATAGATTCAATAAATAAATAACTAACTTATTTATTTATTTCTAATATTCATTTTTATTAATTACTTAATTATAAAAATCCCTCCGGAAAATAAACGGAATGCAATGTAAATATTTTGTTTTTAATTAAATTTGAAATTAACTGAAATAATACTTTACATTACTTATGTTATTGTTTTGAATTAATAAAATTTTCGTGTTTAACGGTATTTTAACTAATAATGGGAATTTATTTTTTATCATTGTCTGTATTTATCTTATTAAATTATGTTTCATAATAAAATCATTCGTAATTGGTGACATTGTAGATTTATTTTTACTAAAGAGTAATTGCTTTATTATCATAAATAATAATACTTTAATTTAATAACTTCTAAACTATGCAATTGTTGTTGTTAGATGTTTGGATTATTAAAATCATTTAAGTTCACCATACGAGACTGATTAGTTTTATAAAACAATAAAGCATCGAAGTGAATTTTTGTATTATCCAATTAATGTCTTTGAATTTACTTACATAGTTTATTTGCCGTATCTATCATGTTTTAATTAAATGTCAATATAGTTGCGCTAAGCTTTTGTTAAAAAATTCACGAATGCGGGCTTTTTGATGATTCACACGTCACATACCGGCGCCAGCATTCCATAGAACATTAAAAAAAACTAAAATATTAATACTAATGAGAATTTTATCGCCGTAGGAAGTATTGCAACTAGTCACATTACTATATGCTCAAGTACGCTTTGTGAATTATCCTACACAGTATTGCAAAAATATCTATGAGTAATCCTAACAAGAAATTAAATCGATTCTAAAATTGGTAAAATAGATCAATAAGTCATGTTTTATGATTAAGAAAGTCGAGGGATGGTCAAAATGAATATTTGCCTTAATTTAAAAACATTTGGTACATATATTTGGCAACTTTATTTCTAATGATAAGTTAGTTTTTTTTTGTATTTCTACTAAAGTAAAACTACCGCAAACAGATATTAACCAATGTCAATAATTGCGATGAGAAATGGCGAATACGTAGGACGAGTATACTGCATATCTTGCTAGTTCAGATTTAATAATAATAATTATTTAAAACAGTTGCTGTATATACGCCTCGTTTGTGTTGTCTGAAATTATTAGACGCCTGTTTACTTTAATGATGTATATTGCTGTTATGATTGCCGTTGTTACAACCGTTTCATTATATGCCTGCGAGAAGGTTTGAAATATATCTAAATATTAAGCGAAAACGGCCGATAATTATCTTATAGTATAAAAGGCTTGTTCTACTTATCCAATTACTGAACTTAACAGCTATTTTTCCAAAGACAAGTGTAATAGGAAATTTTTCTCGTGGAAAATTTCAAAAATATAATTGGCTAAACTATGGAAAATCTTAGACTGTATACTAATTTTTAATTAAATATCATAGTACAATTATTTTTAAGTTTTATACAATGAAGAAACAATGCACTCAAAAATAAAATAATAAATAAAAATTATAATTATATAATACAACTATAGCACACATACGGTTATTATGCTCTTTAAAAAGAGGAATAATGATGACGGCCACATGTAGATACATAGACAAATCGATTTTCAATTATATTCAACAAAAAACTTTGCGGGACCACTGACCCTCGACATTACTATTGTTTTAACTTTGGAATGTAAACACCGTAACCACACAAAACAAACAAATTAATAATAATATTATAATAATTTTCAATGAATTACATAACACAACTGTTGTGTTCATAGTATAAGTTCAAAAACTGTCATTTGTTTATTCTATAAAGTATTTGTTACGTTTCTAAATTAAAATGAACAATTATGGCAAATTTCTACTACGCTAATAAACCATAATTAATAGGTCAAAATGTTTTTGTTGACTAGTAATGAAGTTATTATACATAACTAGTAATATATATATTAGTTATACATCAAATTTAGACATTTTGTACGGAACCTAAATACAACAAATTTATTTAGCTGATGAATCGATATGCTGTTCGTGTTTCTCAATAAAATAAATAAATTCAATCGATTTCTACAGGCCTGGAAGTATTTTCCTCCAAAATAATACACAGAAGTCTCCTATAAAATAATGTATAATATAGCTTCCGAGTATCCAGTTTAGTATACATTAAGTTAACGACATCACGCAATGCTCTTTTACTACTTTTAGTCTTTTATTTTTATTGATTGGCTGTTGGTTATTCGGAGAAAACAGTTTCTCATTTGATTTTATTTGAAGATATTCTGGCTACTGTGTTAAGTAGTTCTTGTGGTGTATTCCTCGTAAGTTAAAGATCAGTCAAACTTTATTTATTTTTCGTTCGTATAGTTTACGATTATTTAATTTTTGAAACAATAATTTCTCAATATTTATTGAACTTGAGGCTGTGTGCAAAAAGACACTCTAAGCTATACTATTTAAACCCTTAAATAATTTGGTACCCCAGAGGGAGATGCAGTATGATTTATTCACTCGTTTGCACCAATGTACAATACCTTTGTTATCCAAATTAAATTAATTTGCATGAAGTGCAAAATGTGCATTTAAAACAAAAATATAATGAAAATTAGTGAATTAATTACTTTTGCAAGATATCATCTTTGTAAACAAAATATTATCAACATTTATGTTTAAACTGCAATTTAAGAGCTATACAATTATTTAAATAAATTAAATGTCCTTGTTATTTTCTTTCACTAAGTACACATTAATATTTCGAGCAAACTCCTAATGGCAAATTAGTTGAATTATTATTAGTCTGGGCTATCTTCTCGAAAGTTTGTTCAGCATCTCTGGTAACAAAAAGACGCATTAACGTCATTCTAATTACACACCGATAAAATTATTGTTAATAACATATACCATTCATACTGGTAAATTATTTCTCTTATTGCTTAAGATAATAATGAATTCAAATTCAAAAATTAGTATATTCAAATTATTTTAATTACATTTCTTATAATCATGAATTTAATCTTTAAATAAAATACACGTGGATATAATCATATTAATAATATGATTATACTGCATAATAACAAAATATCGTTAGAAAAGTAAACTTTTATTTATTTACCATCTAAAAGGGCATAAACACAACTACTACTTTGCTTATACAAACTAAATGTGTCATGTAAATTAAAAACTGTAAAGGCTTTAGAATAAACCCTAAACCATAAAAAAAAAAAAAACAAAGCGTACACGCATTTTGGTACCGGATATTGCTATCATCAGTAATAACCACACCTTGGCTTAGTTTTTGTGGTTTTTTGGGTTTGTTTATAAATTTTATTATTCTTAAACAGACAAATAACCTTGCGTTTTTTTTTTGTAAACAATTATCAAAATTAACTTTCTTGGAATCTATTAAACTGATATTTATCGCAGTGCAATTTTTATTAAACCATTGAGTTTTATATGGTGAATTTTTTTTCAGATGTTTGGCCACCAGGATGGACAGAAAAATGTATTGGGTGTATTTGTGAGGCTTCGTCGGGCTGCAATCAGACTTTAGAATGCGTTGAGCAAAATGACGTTAAGTATTGTGGAGTATTTTTACTCAGTGATATTTATTGGCAAGACGCAGGAGCGCCTGTGCTCATAGGAGACGATCCAAATCGAATTGGAGGTAAATTTACCTTCAGCTAAACTTAAAATAAAACAATATATCTCATTAAATCCGAATTGTTTTTTTAAAGCGTTTGAACGTTGTGTCAGAGATCCATATTGCGCTGCTCGAGCAGTTAACCAGTATATTCAACGATATGCAAAGGTATTGTCAAGTTAAAAATTATGCGAAACAATGTTGTCACGTTTTTTAAGTAATAAAGAATTACATTTTTTAGGACTGCAATCGAGATGGAACGATATCATGCGATGACTATGTTCGTCTACATTATTTTGGTGAAGCAAACTGTAATACCCCCATTGGTTCATTACCATACTACAGAGTGTTCAGAAACTGCATTGCATCTTAAAAAAATACATCAAACATTATTTATTTACAGTTAATTATGTCGACTGTTAATTTATTTTTAGTATATATAATCGTTTTGTTTGAAGTTAAAAACAATTTATTATCGGAGTAAAAAAAAAAAAAAATTTAATTGAAAACTCTCTTTTAATATTTACTAGTAATTTATTCTAAGGTTCATGTTTTAAAATATAAACGAGTTTTCCATTATTTTATCAATCAATAAATGTAATCTTTGATATCTCATCAATTACTAATATAAACATCTGAATGATATTAATAATGTCATTGGTATACATTCGATGCTATACTAATAATTATTTATGACAGATTTATTGATGGGGATTAAATAAAATTACCCGAGTTATATAAATATCCATTGCTTTATTGACATTTTATAAAATATATTAAAAAGGGGTTTATTTATATATTTGTATAATATCAGTATTTTAGTAATTTACCTATTTCATAATTTTATCTAAAATTTTAATTTAATTATTTACATTTAATATTTTTGGAAAAACGTGGACCCTAAAACATATAACTATAACACATATAATTCAAATGTATGATTAATTTAAGGATATATAGTATAATTGAATAGATAATTAAAAAATTGTATAGCCAAAGAGTTAAAAATAAAATTTTATTGATTTATCTCTTGTTAGTGTAATATTTTGTAAATTAATTTATTCATTAAAGTATAGTCAACTATAAAATGATAGTAAATTTAACATTTATCAATATATTACAGTACATTACATATTTAAGTATTTTACTAACTAAAAATTATATATGAGGAATTTTCGTTCACCTTAAAAAATATTTAAAATATCAGTTTATTATTACAACTTTTTTAGTATTCTGCTCTTTTTGTATCTTATTCTAGATTTTATTTTATGGTTACAAATTAATTCTAAAATAATTATAATAAAATCAATAAACATGACAGGGTTTTTTTTTCGTAAAACCATTAATTTAATCTACTTCATGGAAGTATCTTGAAAAATTCTTGTGTAGTTACTACAGTATATATTATTTCATAAATTTGCATAAAAACTTGACTGGAAGTTTCCCTTCTCTATTACTTTAGAGTTCCCTCAGCCCCCATACAAACTATGCTAATGGTCTGCTATTTTATTTATAAACATAATTTAAAACTCTGTGTTGGTTTTAATGAAGAGTATGAGTTAATGTAATCTATTTATTATTTTTGTACTATCATCCTCAAGAATTGTATAAATATTCATGTTTATACACAGTGACTTCACCGTAAGCTAAATTAAATTTGTTATTAATTTTATTACAATAAATAACTTATCCTTAACAAAAACCTAAATTTTAAAAAGGACTAAGGTTCATCCCTTTCCTCCAAAAAAATTCGTTAATCGTTGTACTGATATCTATATTGTGGCTAAGTTTACTCTTTTTTTAGTTCATAAACTTCTATCATTCTTTTATAAGAAATAATGCTCCTTTATTTGTACTTCTTAACATTGGGTAATTTTTAAACAAGACATAAAAGAGATTTTGCTACAATTCTAAATTAATTTCGTGAGGATATTTAAACTTTTTTCTGAGTTCTTCCATTCCCATCTCTACGAAAATGTTTAGATGAGTGATATTAAGCCAGTTTTTGGCCAAATGTTAAGCAATACGAATAAATATTGTTCATGCAAAAGTAAGACTGAATTTTATGAACTAAAGAAAAAGTAAACTTGGTTACAATATAGATTTCCCTACTTTGATGAGAGGACTGTATGAGACGGAATATGTCTGGAACTTGTCCTATCCGCAATAAATAATTTTTTCAGAAAATCATTAATTTGTACTGACTTATGACAGTAAAACATATGATTTTCTACTAGCTCATGGAAATTTTTTGATAAAATCTATAACTGTGTAATGGTCTTATGTTATTTTTTCATATAAACTTCTGTTATGTTTCCCTAGATATGAAATTTACAATAAAAATAAATAAATATACGAGAATATCTATATTTATACATTTAAATAATTTATCTGTTAAAAATTTTAATACAAAAAATTTTCTTTCGTACTTATTGTGATTACTATGACTGAAGAAAAACCAGTAGATCTGCTGATAAAAGCTTTAATGAAAGCTCAAGAAGATATCAAAGAAAATCAAGTATAAAAACAAATATATTCATTTAAAAGTAAATCTTAGTGTTTCTTTTAAATTTCATTAAGACTGCAGCTTTATTAGAATTTAATATTTTCTGATAATAAATCTAAATTTGTATTAATCTGAATATTAATTATTGTAACTAGTACAGGGATAAAATTTAATGTTTTCAATAAGTTAACCATATAATAATTCGATATTAATTAATTTATTAAGCCTAGTGAAGCAAAACTATCAGAAAATACCAAACCAAAAATTAAAAAAGGTAAAAAACGTGATCCAATATTTAGATTAGTTCACAGAGAATTGCTCAGTAGACCTTTATGTCGACACTTGCAACCCTATCCAAATCCTGAATTTGAGGTATATAATTGTAATTTAAATCATTAAGATATTCTAAGTTTACATAAAATAGTAAAATTTCAAAAAACAGAAAAAAATATATTATTCAGGGTAATTAGTTTAAACTATGAGATATTTTTTTGTAAAAGAAAAATATCTTAAGAGATTTTTATTTTTGGCTTATTAAGTGGTATTTTTTTTTGGATTTATTAGTATACAACTATTAAACCAGTAGTTTTGAGAGTTATGGATATTTTTATACCTATCTAATATTTAAGCTAGTTCATTCATGAATTTTTTTCCATACTTTTTCCTACATGCTTGTTCTGATTATTGTAGAGATTTTATATACCTTATTTGAATACAAAATTTAAATGTATGTGCAANATTCATTCATGAATTTTTTTTCTATACTTTTTCCTACATGCTTGTTCTGATTATTGTAGAGATTTTATATACCTTATTTGAATACAAAATTTAAATGTATGTGCAAGAGATAATGGATAAATCTAAAAACTATTTAACGGTCTATTTAACTTCTTTCAAATTAAAAAATGTAATTATACTAAATAAAATAATTTTTTTTTAAATTATAATTGTTGTAATAAAATGTAGTGATCATCAACCATAAATTAATCACTCTGAATAATTAAAACTCTATAATTAGAAAATCAATTTTATAATTGCGAAATGTAAATTAGCGACAGTGGAAAGTTTCAAAAGCAGCACTCAATGCAAAAATGACTGATCGTTTAGAGTTTTTGGCCTTACCGCGTCAAAATATATGTGAATCATGTAATTCAAATACTAATTTGCCGAAAAGTAATTTAAGAAATAAAATTGTAAAAATTAGTTCTCGGCTTGAATTTTTAGCCACTCCTCAATTAATCACTGAACAAACGTAAGTGTTTTTGTCATATATTTTTTATTTGGGAAGAAAGGGACTTACATATATAAAATAAATTACACAATATTCTCTTCAATGGAAATAATATTGCATCAGTTATACTCAATTATTTTATCCCTAAATTGATCCCTAATATATTTACCTGATCTTGCCTCCAATAATATTAATTTTGCTTAACTTACATAAAGTTTAATTTTAGTAATAAAAAGATCGATAAAAAATGTTTTAAGACCAAACAAGAGTGGTTGAATCATTTGGCCAGATTAAAAACTTTATCGTCATCCAGAAAAACACTGCCTTCGACTCCAGAGCCTGTAAGCTACCAAGATTTTCTTACGTAAAAGAAAAAATTGTAATTTTTTCTTAACGTTTAGATAAGAAAGAAAAAACCGTTATCCGATTTAATTCCATACATAGAGATCTTGGCCATACCAGCCTACCGACCCCCAAACACAAATGAAAAAACCTACGAAGAAACTTATACCGTAAATAAGAATACATAAAGTTTTACTGGTGAATCGTTTAATTTTTAGAACGTATGTGCTTTCCAGATTAACCCTGCAGCTCTTAAGTACCAAATTAGTGCTCGTATTGATGAGTTGTCTAAACCAAGGCTGTTAAATAAAACTACTAAACTTAACAAGAATTTAGGTCTACAAAAAAGATAATGATCAGTTAACAAGTGTATTAACTTTGATACTTAATAAAAATTTTGAAAAAGTAATTTATAATTAATTGCTAACTTGCTTGAAGTGCTTGAGGATATATCCATGTTCCTTAAGCATATCAAGCAACAAGACAATCCATGAAAACTTTAACACGTTCATAATTGCTAACTGTTATAATCTCCACATAAACCTCGATTTTCTGTTTGAATAAAGAAAATGGCCTTATATGTTATTACAGCTGGAATATCTTAACCAAGAAATGTTGTGATGCTTAACATATCAGACGATTTTAACCATTTTATTCTAAATTTATAGTTGTAATTAACAATAGTCATTGACGAAAAGTTTACTATTTTACTATTAATAGACCCATCAATAAAGTTTACTAGTTAAAAATATTCACTATTATTTGTAAAAAACACAATTTACATTATTAATATAATTCGAATTGATGATATATTAAGTCGGTAGAAAAGTAATCTTCTAAGCATAACAATTATTTCATCAAAAAGTTATGAAACAGTAATTTTCTAAAAACGGAATTTTGACATTTTTATTTTTGCTCGTTAAGTTCATTTTAAGTATATGTTTGCCATAGAGTACATATTTCAAATAAAATACAAGTTTCCCAAAATTAAAGGACACAGCAGAAAATTAGGTTTAAACGTTATAAGTTCTAACTTACTCAATTTTATCACATTGAAAATTATTTTACACTATTAACAGGCGAGTAAGATTCTATTAAATGTTTTCAGTAACTAAAAATTAGAGTCATGTTTATAAAATGAGAATTTTTGGAATGTGATTGCATTTGATAATTATTATTAATATTATAGCAACATTGCAAGTTAATCATGTGATCAAACGCTTTCTGATAATTTTACATTCAATGTTCATCCAATACGAGGTTTGCATATCTTATCATGATGTACATTTGTTTTATTAGAAAAGTTAAATTACATAATTTTTTAACATGTAAAGAGTGCACGTAAGTTATGGTGTTGTATTACACATTGATCTATCGACTATTTGACAGTATAGGCTGTTAAGAGGTATATGCTTGAATTTAAACTATATCAAATAAAAAAACACATGTACAAATGTATTTTGTATATCACAAATACATAAATTTTTTAATATTCACATTATAATTTATTACTAGGTATAGTAAAAAAAAGGCAAATTTAGCGAAAAAATATTTTATATTCAGTTTTAATTGTACAAATGTCACTTTTGTAAAAACTAGATAGTTGGAAAAATTACTTTTGAAGTTAAATAAAAAAAAAAAACCACATATATATATAACTCTTTTATGCTAATACATAGTTCAGATTATTATTATATTTTAGTATATCCATTGTATGATTGAATATTAAAAATTAAATCTCGTTATAAGTTTTAATCTGATATTACTGATATATTACATATCAGGGACACAATCAGGGGAGAGGTTAGAGATTGTATCCTCTTCCTGGAAATGATAAGCGATTTAAAATTTTTTAGTCGTGATAACCTAAAATCATCAAATAATAAAAATAACACAAAAGTAGTTTTAATTTATTGAAATACGTATGATAGTAAGTAGCATTACTTCTTTGCACATTAATGTCCCTCGATAGACTAATTAAGCACAAAAATTAATAATCTAATACTACTAAATTTAAAATTCTTCTTGATTCTTAAAAAATTATATAATGTCAACAAATGCAACGTAAGAAATAAACTAAGAAATCCCAAACTTCAATATGATATTTTTAATATACACGTATTAACGTTGCACACAAGCAGTGTAATTTTGAGAGTGTATTAAAAATTATTATTCAAATATTTAAAATAAAATATTTACCTTGCATTGTGTGCGCTAAAAACTTCTATAACATATATTTGGAATTATTATATATATTTTTTTGAGTGGTATAAGACAATAATCATGTAAGATAATTCAAATTATTCAAAAAAATGTTGATGGTTGAGCAAAACAACATACTCAGAGTTCAGTCATAAATAAACATAAATATACGATTAACATAAATAAAAATTTGAATTATTTTTATAAACGAAATTCAATATAACGACATGTAAAAGATATACATGACTAAATATATCCTTCAATTATAGGGTGTAGTCTCTAAGTTTAATGATTACTCTGGATAAGTCTAATTTATTTTGAATGTTAATTATTAGTTTCAAGGTAATACTTACAAACACTATACAGAGACGTGTTTACATAATAAGTGAGCTTCAGTAGTACATTTTATATAATAACTTTAAATTAATTTAATTCATTTTAAACAATAATATATTCCTACACTTCATTATGAAAAAAATTAATTTATATCGAGCAGATATTTCCGTATAAATATTGTGATGATTTTTTGAAATATAACTAAATCGTTTATCGTCAAATTTGTATTACAAAACAAACAGCTAATATTTTACCTAAAATAAAGCTTTTTTTACGAAAAGATGAAAATTAATTTTAATTTTAAATTTAATTAAAAAAAAAAAAATTTATTATGAATAGTACACATAATAAATTGTTATTTTAAATAATTGTATTATGATAAGTTATTATATCTATACCAAAAATGAATAAGTAGATAAAATTTTATCTTTACTTAACATTTGTTTGTATCAAGTAGTAAAAAACCGGACAAAGTGAACACCCGGGAAAAGTGAATAATGATAATATCTCAAAATCTAAATATTATAAATGATTTTTGTAAACATAAAATTAAAATACAGTGTGAAAACTGCGTCGAGCTACCATTTATTTAGCAATTGCGTGTGATAAAAACAAGTAATTATTTTTTCAAAAATTTAACAGTTTTGTAATAAATTTTATAATAAGTAAAATTCGATTTTTTTTTTTAATAATTGATACAATTATACTTCTATGATTGAAACAATCATGTTAAATAAACCACTAGTAATCGATTAACTGTAACTATAGTTATAAATGTTTAATTTAGAAAAAAATTAGAACGAGTAAAGCGGTTAGGGAAAAGTGAAAAGTTACAATTTGATGGGTTTAAATTATTACGGAGGTATCTATTAATAAGATTTAATGAAGAATTGTCAATTACAGACATATTTTTATTTTTTATATCTTTTTAAATTGAGAAAAAGGAAGTGAGTTTCTTTTTGATGTAAAAAAATTTGTTGTTTAGTGTTTTTAAATTTCAATTAAGATAAAGTTCGGATAAAATTGATATTATTTAAAATGTTCACTTTCCTCGAATGAATAATTTTTAATATTTCAAAAAGTTGCTTTAACAATTAAATATAAAAATAATTTAAAGAGTAAAATTCAAAATTTGACATAACTTTACAATATTTTTGGCAAAAATACTTAATTATTTTTATTCCAAACTTAAGTTATCCTCTTTTTACGGGTCTTGCTCCGACTAAGTTATTCAAAAATTAAAATTTAATTTTTGAATGATATTTTTTTTTTAGATTATCTGTATTCATTGAGTTACAAATACGTATTATAAATAATTAATTAAATTCTGATCTTATTACAAAATTAAGATGACCAATTCATCTAAACTGTTATCTTCAGTTTTACGTTGTTTATGTATTTTTAGAAGGAGTAATAAAGCTCACATAAAATGATCCATTAGCACTAGACATTCCCTGAAGTACTGAATGCAAAGAAAAAATTGAAAATATAAATTTACCAAATAATTATTAAATCTGTAACAGATAGAAATATTTATAAAATATAACTCAACTAGTACACATATGGGAAGAGATTATGATTTTATGCGTTTAAAGAAGATACATTATATAACTTGATTAATTAATTACCGAGTTTCTCTTTAAGTCGACAATCATATTCATATTTTGTTCAAGGTCTTGGTTTTTGACTAGATCAAATCTATAATTGGAATACCTCCCTCAAGTGGTTGGTTATAATAATAAGATTAGTTGATGATCGTTCGACAGAGGTCGTATCAATTTTTTCGACGGAATGGGTGGAGAAGACGGACTGAGACTATTTAACCACCGGCCGGTTTTATTACACTATCGATGATCACGTTCAGCATACACACAACGAACACTAACATCATGAACGACTACCAAGTTCTTACGGTAAGTGATAAAATTTTATTGCAGCAAATTAATTGTTTATTTTTATAATTCTAACAAATGGTAAATGATATATTTGTTAACGCACCAAGCGAAAAATAATTTTAATACATTTATACGATACTTTCAATTTTATTTCTGCACTTCCAATTTCATAAAAATAGGGTTTTTCATCAATAAAGGTATACAGTACTTTCGTTATTTAATGGGATTAAAGTTAATAAGTATTATAATAAAAAATAAAATAAAAATCATAGATCGTTACTCGTTTTCGTTGCTATTATTAAAGTCACTGTAAAGTCAACTTCGATTTTAATAGAAATCTTAGGTTGAAGATTGAAGTAGTAACTATTGTTTTTTTTTAAGTTTAATTTTATTATAATTATAAATTGTACTTTTATCTATTTTGATATTTATTATTAAAAACTTCAAAGTTAATTTTATGTTTTGTTTTTCGTAGATATTTGCTACTCTCTACATTTGTGAGTGTTTGGGTAGCCCAGTTACTCCGACTGGCCAACCCATTCCAATTTTGAAACAAGTCAATAGGCAAAATGAAGACGGTTCGTACAGTTATGGCTATGAAAACGCAGACGGCACATTCAAGATCGAAACAAAGAGCCCCACCGGTGAAGTTCACGGCAAGTACGGTTACGTGGACGAAACTGGCAAATTACGAACTGTCGAATACGGCGCGTCCTCCGCTCGTGGATTTGAACCGGTCGGTACTGATATAAACGTCCCTCCGCCAGTCATAGGAGGTGAATCAAATGAAATGCACAGGGACCAGCCGCTACAGCAAGCGCAACAACAAGACGACTATGACGACGGGCAATACCGCGAAGATCCCAGCATTTACTACAGGTCCGAACAACAGCAGCAAATGCCTGTCGCTCGTCAACAACAGCAGTTCGCTTTGCAACAACAAAGATTCGCTCAACAACAACAACAACACTTACAGCAACAACAATTGCACCAACAACAACAACAGCTTCTTCAACAGCAGCAGCAACAATCACAACACCTACCCTGGTACAGTAGCCCCATGTCCAGATCAGACAACAAACAGAAATTTCCAGGGCATCCATCAATCCAACATTACGACCCATTGACTGGGTCATTTGCACTGGCCTACACGGGCAACTGATTCCTTACTTGAATGTTAAATAATATAATGTCTGTTTTTATTGTGCAATTATACTTTATTTGTATTATTGAAATAGTTAAATTTTATGAATAGAAATTTTTTTTATGAAATAAAAAGAAGTTTTTTTTTTATTTGTGGTTTATTTTTCTTTTGCTATTTTATTCGCTGATAGTGATAAGTATTACACAACGTGTATTTCAAAAGTAGTTGTGTACAAATTACACTCAAATATCGCCGTTAATAAATTGTAATTCATTACATGATTTACTTGTGGTCGAATAACATCAATAAATGCGTTGTTAGAATATAGTTATTTATTTTATATAGTTTTTTGAACATTTTTTACACATAGCTTAATGTTTATTGAATTTAAATAAAGTGAACTGAAATTATTAGTCTGTAGACCTTCATTTTGGAAACCTCAATTTATCATAAATATAAAGAAAATTCTCTGTTAATTCCTGTAAGTCAAAACTTATAAATATCTATTTATAAAATAGACATTTACACATAAAGAATTTTAATTAAACTTTGAATAAAACACTCATTTTTAATTTAAGCGCCATGCCGCGAAAATGTTGATGGTTTTAATATTTAAAAAATGAAAAAAATATTGAACTGAGAGGAAATAGTTTGACCAATTGATAAGGTGACCGTTCAGATTCGAGTTGCATAAAAAGTCCAGCGATCAATGCACCTCATAGATACGATATCTAGTTATTTCTGACGCACACCTTAAGGCCTTTTCAGGTTATTTGCCTCGACCATTGTTTTGTCTGCATCATAATCGACCTCGAATAATATTAGATCGTCCGATTCTCACAGTCGATACAGAGCCTATTGTCAGATGAATCGATTGAGCGTTCGCAGGAGGCCTGGACTTGACGCCTAACAGTGGCGGTTCGTTAATGGCGAGTAGTCTTTTTGTATAAATCCGTAGACATTTATATACATGTACAATAAATGTATTATTACTATTGTTGTGTTGCAGATAATTATAACTAAACAGCGCTGTCATGATTGCAGTGTTCCGAGTACCGGTCAAGAAGTCCAATTATAATGAGGGTAATGACCAGTGATACAACGTTGATAGATTGACCGTTATTTTTTTATAAACTGTTTTAATAAACATAATCATTTAATATATTATAAGTATTTAGACACTTGATGTTAAAATTTAACCATAATTTCTAATTTAATTGTTATAGTAGAAATTACAATTGAAAGACTTAGCGCTGAATCATTTACAACTACATTTAATAACCATTAAGCACTATTGAAGTCCATCTTTAATCCCTTAATAATAATTTTCGAAATAATGGTTCAATAATTATATGAATTAATAAAGTCATGAAAAAATTCTCAAAAATTTATTATTTTAGAATAAATTAAGTGACTAGCGTTATAGGAATCACTCTGCGTATTATTAACAGAGTGCTTTTTTATCATAACCCACTCAATTTCTCACAGAACAAAAATAATTTAAACTTTTTTTTTTTGATACCTCTAATTACATATTGCTATTGAATTATTAGCTACATTTTTTTCAAGTGGCAACAAATATAACAACTTAAGATTATATTTGAGGTTTTATTTTAATAGTAAATGGCATTTGAATTTTTAACTTAACTCTATTCGTTAATTAGATATAAGTCTTTAATGATTCAAATTGTTGAGATAATATACATGTATAATATATATGAGGTTTAACAAATACAGATAGCTAATGGTTTTTTTTATGAAGCAACTAGAAATAAAAAAAAAAACGTTTAAACTATTTTTATTTTGTGAGAAATTGAGAGAGTTAAGATAAAAAAAGAATTTTGTATATTTACAGTGTTTTGTGGCAAACTCAAATTCTGAACAATTATGTAATATAGCTTTTATTTAAATGCATTAGTTCTATCTATACTTTAAAATTCAATTTTACAGCATCAGATTCTATATGAAAGTAATAAAAATTAAATTTTACAAATACGAGTAGTGTATACAATATACTCATATTATTGTAATAAACGAAGAGTACTCGAGATTTTTTCCTGGAGGGGAATATGCATAAGAAATTATTTTACTTTTCTTCAAAAAAAAAAAAATATATAATAAACTATTTCATAGTGAAAAACTTCTTCCTCTTGTAGGGGAAGCCCGACCAAAAAGCGGATATGTTAAGTTTGGGTTGCAAAAAAAAGTACGAAGTATTATTATTAAATATCTTTTAAAAATTATAATATTATATAATAATCTCAAATTTTATAATTTTACTCTTGGAATTTATTGTATATTGTTCTTAAATGAATTAAAGTAACTATTGCAAAACATTTAAAATTGTTCACTTGGTCCGAATAAATCAGTAAAGTGAATATTTTAATTAATTACAATAGTTGAAATAACTGAAATAAATTATATATTTAAACAAAATGTAACTTATTTGAATATTCAAAACTACTTATATCACTATTTATTTTATACGCTCGAAAAATTCACTTGATTAGTCACAATCAAAATGGTGTTATTTGTGTTTTTAAACAATGTATAGCACCGAAAATAAAATAAAAATGTATCTCAGAGCAGAATTGTTTTAATCAATCACATTAATAAAAGTTCTGTAACGGTTTTAAGGTAAATATTTTAATTTAAAAATAATTTTAACCCGTTAAATTTGTAACTATTCTATTTGTTTTTTTTTGTGTAATACGTTTATGTTAATATTTATGCGATTACTATTAGTGACTTAAATGAAATATCCCATTATGATATTCATAGGATGTCAAAAATTGACATCTCAAAGAAGTATCCACATCTATTTCTATGCGATGAAACTTCGTAATTTCATATAGACGTTTAAAATTATTAAATCTCAATAAATATGTCTATGTGAGATGTAATTGTGATGTAAAAATAGAAATTAAAAAACATTTTGTAAGACGTACATGTGGTATTGAGTTGGTTAAAACAGGTACCATCCGCTACTGACGATAACTTCCAAAAAATTCCAGGGGCTCCAGTTACACTGTATAATATCTACCGGCGTATATATAGTTGCCTGTACTCTGTGCCGTGTTCACATTACTGCCCGATCTCCTATAAATTTCAATTTGGAACTACTCGTCTGTTGTCAATATAATAATTATCAAACGTATACGCTATGGACCATCAACTACGGTGTGTTCGCCTGCGTGTTAGCCTCATGCATAACTAATTAGGCTAAATAAGGATTTATTGGTTGGGAAACCAATAAACCTAACCTTAATTCGATAATGTATTTAAGTTATTTTCTTAATCGTGTTTTTTTAAGGATATTCATAATATTTATATATTACAGTATATCTAATAATTAATTAAAATTTTACGCTCATACATATGGCTTCACTGATGTTTCTTCTGCCAATCGAAACACTGTTTTATTATTTGTGATCTATCTGTTTTCATATAGCTGTTGTTAGAACTGAACTAACTTCTATGATATATTAAGTTATAAAAAAGAAATATGGTTCTGCATCTCGGTTTTGTTTTCTATTTCGCGGAAATCTATAATCTATAATTGTATGATATTTTTAATGTATTTTTGATTTGTGGATTTGGTTACTTTAAGACACTATAACTTTTAAACCATTTGTTTCCGTTAATTTTTTCAAACAGTATTAAAAAAGCATGTAAAAACGCATGTTTTAAAAAATACAATAATAAAATTTTGTTGACAGATGTGTAACAGTCTTTGATAAGGAATAAAATACGGTAAATATAACTAGACGTGTAGTAGAACATCTTAATGGAAGGATTTTAGCAGACTAGTAGGGCGCTTTATTGGTAATCAAATGGTCACAGATCATTGCCCATTATGAGCTATTATCGTTAATTGTAAAATATAAGGTTATGGTGGGGAAGTGACAAGACCACACAACTAACTCCAAAAATAATTTTAGAGGTGTTCGGACGGTCGTTGTCATGCAACGGCAACACGAACACACTGCAGCGGACGGTCGATGGCATATACATCCGTAGTTATTTATTGATAATATACGGGTAGTTCCCAATTGGAATCTACAGAAGGTTGGATGGTACTGCGAACATGGCGCAGCTGACGGGGTAATAGCATATATGTTAGTGAACGAACATATAAGTGGAAGTACAAGTGTAGCGTCAATCGTGGATAATGTGGGATAAAATTGATTTAGATGGTTAGGTTATGATATAAGGATAGAAGAATCAGAAGCTGTAAATCAATTACAGAAATGAATATTGAAGGAAGAAGAGATAGAGAAAGAGTCGGAGGGATATTATTGAATACAAGATATTAGGACAGCTGATGTGTGTGTAGATAATGTGGGAAATCTTGTCAAATAAAATTTTAGGTTATGAAATCCCGAATAATTGGGATGAAGGCTCGGAAAAACAAACAGTCTTCTATTACAAGTGTACGGAATGGCAATTTTATCGTTATAAATAGAAGTTCAATTTTATTGTTATGAATTAAAACGGATGTAGACAACAAAATACTACGGACGGCACTAAGAATCTCACCTGCTCTAGATAATCAACTGGTATATGAGTTACGATCGCACTTAAACACGTAGTTACGATAGCCATGAAAAACCAGTTCGAAAAATGTCATCACTTTCCATTAGTTACGTTTCAGTTAATATTAAAAATATTTTACAATATGTAAAACGAATTAAGTGTTTGATATTTTGTATGGGATATATTGTTATTTAAGCTTTAAACGTTTTCATAATGTATAAGTAAATCAACTTTATTTACTTCTTCAACTTATAAGCTTTATTTATAATTGTTGTTGTACCTCTTACATATTTTATAATTATATTAATTTCACCTTTATGTAAATCATGTATGATTAAATGATTTTAAAAAATAATATTGAATTTCATCTTTGTATAATTCTGTGAAATTACAGTAAGGCTAATTATAATTAAATGGAGAAAAGCTTAGACAAACCATACACTATCGTGTAATAGTTGTTGTATTAACAGAGCCTTACATTAAACAAATATCTACTCATTCTTCATGTTTTTTATTTGTTGGTTTCCAGTTTAGTTCATTAATTTGGTATATAATAATCTCACTAAAAAACAGTAAAAAAGTAGGATCGCAGAACAGTGGTAACGTGGCATAG